TGCATCAGTTTCTACTAAAAGACAGACAATTATGTTAATTATGTGGTAATTCAAAAACAATGAAACAAATCTTTTTACAAAATGCTAAATGTGAATACTGTTTATGAAATTGTCATAAAATTCTGAACGAACACATAAATTTGCAGAATAGTTTAAAAAGGTTTTGTACAATAACCACGACTCATTTAAAAATCAAAAGCCTAGCAGGCCTGTGTATGCAAACAAATATTTCAGCATGCTTTATATACCGTTACAATTGAACCACCTGAAAAAAAAAAGAGGTCATCAAGAACAATCCTGTGACATCAAGGCAATCTCAGTGTAGTGATTGTCACATGACCTACCGAGTGCTGATTGGTCTCTCGACAGCTGATGTCAGTTGTCATCTGCAACACAACCTCCTGGCACATTTCAGTGTCCATTTTATGAGGCCTGGTTGGACTCAAGTTCTGCGGCGTTGATGTAGTTATATCTTGACAGGAGTTTGAGCTAAAATGGAGAGAATATCTGAAAAGTTGTTTCCAGCTAGGTTTTATCTATGCCAATTCCCCATTTCTGGACTAACAGTCTACAAGTTCCATTGCTCATCTACATAGCTGAGTGCTTAGTGCGGTAATATGAGTGTGGATTTCATATGGAATTATTTTTTTCTGTTTGCCTGCAGCGTGCTGTTGACTGTACTAAAACCTCACTTGGCCGATTGTGTTTAGAAGTGTGTATATTTTTTTACATTATATATATATATATATTTTTATATATATATATCTATATATATATATATATATATATATATATATTATATATATATATAGTGTACAAGCAAACAAGCAACTATGCTTCTTCGGCTTTTAAATAACAGCTGAAATATTTATATTAATAAATGATTATACCATCAAGGTAAACGATGCATCAACTAATGTGTGACTTGGGTTTAACACGACAATCACATATCAAGTTTACTACAGAATTTTGTCTTACATTTAATAATTACAAACACGTTACTGAGTTCAACTTTCTACATTCACAAATCAAGTTTAACTACAATCATCTTATCAAATGCAACTAAAATTTACAATTTAGGAGAAAAAGAGCCTCCCGAAAATACAATTTTTAGGAATACCTAATTTGACAAGTAAATGTTATAACCTGTCATATTTACATAAAAATGACACTGTCCGCATTACAGAGTTCCGAGTATTTAACACACACCCCCCCCCCCCCCCCCCCCCCCCCCCCATTCCTATGTCTAGAGACTGAAACAAAATACACCCTCGACAATTTACAAGTCTGCAAAATGGAGGAGCCTTGCCAACTGTAGATAGAATTGAAGCTTCCGACAAAGTTGGAACGCATCTGCCAGAGAGATGAGGAACCAACAGCCTGCACACAAATAAGCTAGAACTGTAAAACAGAAGTGGGCAACAACCAGGCCTGTTTGTTGCTTGAGTTTACAACCAGTCAGTGCCATGAAGAAGTACGCTTGTGAGACTTGGAAAACGTTTTCCCATTGTAAATTTGAATAACGCGGGCACAAAAAATACACGGCAGAATTTACTGTCTGGTACATTTTGCCGTATCTTGTCAGGTGCATTACTACAAAATCAGCTTATATTGAAGGACAACAATTCAACCCCTTTTGCTGAAATACAACTCACAAAACATGTTGAGAAAGGTGGAGGCAGGCATGCTCCGTGCAGAGTGGCAAGCATCACTTCAAAGGTCCCGGGATGTTAGCATTCTTTCGATATTTTCTCAAAGGTATGTCGGTGTGTTGGGAAATGAGCGGGCAGTTGGAATGGTCGGTTCTGCACCACTTGGTGGTAAACTGATGTATGACAGGCTGGATGTTGTGAGGGCCCTTTGATAGCGTGTGAACAGTGCAGAGGAACGGATAGATCATTACGGTCAGAGGAGAATGGCACTGCGAGAGAGTTACAAGGGGATCTGGCCGACGCTCGACACTCAGGGGAAAGGCGAGACGGATATACAATCAGACAGTTACTGGTACCATCAGAATTTTAACTTTTCGCTTGCTGCTAGAGATAGGGAGCGGAGTGCTTATGGGAATGTCCCGAGTGCTGTGATGTCGATTCTTAATTCGTCATTTAACATTGCAGAATGTCGCTCTCATCATGGTCTGCCTGAAAGAAACTCACCAGCTCTCCCACCTCGTGTACTTTCATATTCAAAGAGTCACTTATATCCTGTGCCCATCTTCGTGCTGGTCGGTCCCTGCCCCTCCTTCCTTTTACTATGCCTTCTGCTATAATTCTGTTCCAAACCACTATGGCGCTTGATATGATCAAAATATTTCAGCATCTTTCTTGATGTTTAGATCTTTACTTGATATGATCAAAATATTTCAGCATCTTTCTTGATGTTTAGATCTTTTCTTGATATGATCAAAATATTTCAGCATCTTTCTTGATTGTTTAGATCTTTTAAGAAGAAACTACTGCATTTGTTCCCCCCCCCCAAAACTCATCCTATTTATTACCTATTCTATTATATACCTATGTATATACCTATACAGTAGAACCTCGCTTAACGAGCACCTCTCATAACGAGTAATTCACATAACGAGCAAAAAAAAAAAAATGAATTGCTTAACGAGCGACGTTTCGCATAACGAGTGGCGAGGAGAGGGGAAGTCCCGGATTGTGCGCATGTAACATCAGTCTGTGTTTAGCACTTGTTCCAGTAGCATCGTAGTGTCGCTTGTGATCACACATTTTCTCGAACTTGTGTTATTTTGTTTTATATTTACATGAATCCTCCAGGCCTACAAGATGACTTCTCTGAAGAATTTAAGTTTATCAAGATCCAGTTTCTGCCTCCCAACACCACTCCGTTACTCCAGCCCATGGACCAGCAAGTTATTTCTAACTTTAAGCAGCTCTACACTAAAGCACTCTTCGAGCATTGTTTTCAGGTGACTGAAGGGACCAACCTCACTCTCAAAGAGTTTTTGAAAAATCACTTCCACATTGTTGCCTGCCTCAAGATGATCGACAAGGCAGGCGAAGGGGTTACCTAGAGATCCCTAATTACTGCTTGGAAGAAGCTTTGGTCGGAGAGCGTTGTCGATTTGTGACTAATGGGTTCTAGACAGTACCTGTGGAACATGTAGTCAACAAGATTGTGTCTTTGGCCACTATCATGGGATTGTAGGTGGATAACAGTGATATTGAAGAGCTTGTGGAAGAGAACAGCCAAGAGCTGACCACCCAAGAGCTTATCGAGTTGCATTGTGTTTCACAGCAAGAAGTTTTGGAGGAAAGTTTGTCAGAGGAGGAGGAGGAGGAGGTAACAGAAAAGCAACAATCTTCTGGCGAAATAAGAGAAATGCTGAAAAAATGGCAAACTGTTGCATCTTACATTGAGAAGCATCGCCCTAATAAGGAAGTGGTTTTGGGCGTTGCAAATTTATTTAATGATAATGCTGTGTCGCATTTTCGCCAAATTTTGAAGTGTCAGCAAAAACAAATGTCTCTGGACATCTTTCTAGTAAAAAAAAAAAAAATAATTAGCTATGTATCATAATTATTACCACTTTTTTTTTTCTGCAAATCGAATTCGCATTTCATGTGGGTTCGTTCCACGTTTGAAGAAAAGATGAAGATTCACTCTCCTTAACAATATGTATATAATTTTCTCTGAATAATTGTTATACATAGCACTTTGTAAGTATTTCTTTCGACATGGAACGCATTATCGTATATTACATTAATTTATATGAGAAAAATTGTTTTGCATAACGAGTGTTTCGTTTAACGAGTAAGATTCTGGAACAAATTATGCTCATTAAGCGAGGTTCCACTGTATTTTTATACCAATCTCCTATTATATACATTTGTTCTATTTTATACCTATCAGTCATCATCATGTGCCTTGTTGAGCAGCGTGGGCAATCATGCCTCTTCACAATCTGTTATCTCCAGCACCATATACGAGTCTGTATGTTGACACCCGACCATGCCAGGTCAGGTCAAAAGGTTGTCAAGAATCTTCTCATGTTGTCTTCCTCTGTCTCTTTTTCCACAGATCTTTCCAGTGGTCACAGCAAGTTTCCAGTTTCCAGAGAATGATGTCTGTCAGAGGATGAAAACCTCACAGTCATGACCTGGTGAGATTTCTGCAACACTCACATACTCATTAACCAAAATACAGAACCAAATATACACTCAGACCTTCAGATTGCAAGGCAGCAGCTTTAACAACTTTGCAATGGAAACCCCTTCACTCTGGAGTAAAATATGTCCATGACTACCTAATCCCCAGAAGTCATATCTCAGATGACACAGGCGAGAGAAGTATAATCTCCACTGGCATTTCCTCTTGGAGGTAAAATCTCTAATAACATTTATTCACAAAAGTAAAATCTTTAATGACACTTATTCACAAAAGTAACGATTCTACATAAGTTTGTCATTAGAAATTAGAATCTCCAACCTGTTTCATCATATTTTGGAAGTATAAGTAAAATTCTACACCAACCTTTTTACAGAAATAAAATCTAATGACATTCATACACAAGAGAATTTTTTCTAGAGAAACAGTGCCGGTACTCACCAAAAAATGTCTTTAAAAAAGGTTTAGATTCTTAACTATAAAGCGTAGTGTCAGTTGGGGGGGGGGGGGGGGGGGGGTGTGTGTGTGTGTGTCTAAATAAGGTGCCAGTACCGTGTACCACCAAAATAAGCACTGATTCTACATAAATTTATCACTAGCAACTAGAACCTCAAGCTTTTGCTTCACCATATTTTGGAACTATAATGGAGACTCCTTTCCCTGATGTAAAACTCTGTTTCAGCCGACTTAGGGAAGTTAATTTCTAATGGCATTTACTCAAAAAAGTAAAATCTTCAATGACATTTATTCACAAAAGTAAAATCTCCAATGACATTTATTCACAAAAGTAAAATCTCCAATGACATTTATTCACAAAAGTAAAATCTCCAACGACATTTATTCACAAGTAATCATTCTACATACATTTATCACTGGGAGCTCGAACCTCCAGCCTGTGTTTCGTCATATTTTAAAACTGTCTTCTTCTGTTGTCTGTCATTATTGGCTACTGTCTTCTTGTCCTTCACGTCTGCTGACTTTGAGCCTTCCTCGCTCTGTACAACATTCATATTGTCATCATTCTGGGTCTTCTCGTGTAAGTCGTTCTCTTTCTGCTTCCAAACTAAACATTTCTTGATCTCCAAACCAATTGCTCTGCCCATTGGAGGAGGTACAGCATTGCCAATCTGAGCGGGTGAAAATGAACAAAATGTAACAATGAGAGGGTGAAAATGAATGAAAAGTAACAATAGTTTGTTTTGTTAAGGCAGGTAATCAAAAATAAATAAGTAACTGAAATATGTAATAAAAGTTGGTAACAACGCAATGGAACAAAATTAACAGAGAAAACATAGATTCACAGAAACAGAAATATGGCAAAAGGAATGTAACTAATGAGAAAAATGTAACAAAACATCTAGTAAAGGTAACAAAAACGTTTAAAAAATCAAAGACCTGTAAGAAATTACAAAGACATGTAACAAGAACAACAAAGACATATAACATAAATAAAAACATGGAATGAAATTTTTTTTATTATTATTATGTAACCAAAAAAAAAACAAAATCATGTAACACAAATATTACAATGCTTTTGTTTTCTTTTTTGGCAAAGATCCCTTCCTTTGCAACTGAAGACCTCCACAAATGATTCAGTCTCCTGGCAGTAATCAAACAAGGAGAATCTCAAAACAGTGGACGAACTGCAGACACTCATCAACAATCCTTTTTTACCTCTGCATCTGCCCTTAAAGATATTGGCTGGTACACAGTTGTGGTGTACAGCTAGGCTGTGATGTCTGCATCTTTCAGTCCAATACATCAACTTTCAGCAAACCCATAAATAGAAGCCTATTAGTGTGCTTGTTTATGCACAGTGGGTTTATTCTTGTTCTCCCAAAAATGGGATCTCAGAGCACACACAGGGGATTTGGTAAGTTATTTTATATTTTAATTCATTACTTTTTTCACCTAGGTGCATTAGCTGTTTTTGTTCTCAGTTACCAACATGTTCAGCATTGCATTCACATTGGCCCTTCTAGCCATCCACACATATCTGAGAAGATTCCATACCCAATTTAGTGCCACATGATTGCTCCAGTACTCCAGAACTGCTCCATTACCTTGATATTGCTGCCTACCCCGATATTGCTCCAGTACCTCCGAATTGCTCTACTACCCATTCTCTAGGATTGCTTTACCACCCATTCTCTAGGATTGCTCTACCACCCATTCTCTAGGATTGCTCTACCACCCATTCTCTAGGATTGCTCTACCACCCATTCTCTAGGATTGCTCTACCGCCCATTCTCTAGGATTGCTCTACCACCCATTCTCTAGGATTGCTCTACCCATTCACTAGGATTGCTCTACCACCCATTCTCTAGGATTCTCTAGAACCCTTCTCTAGGAATTGCTCTACCACCCATTCTCTAGAACTGCTCTACCACCCATTCTCTAGGACTGCTCTACCACCCATTCTCTAGGATTGCTCTACCACCCATTCTCTAGAATTGCTCTACCACCCATTCTCTAGGGTTGCTCTACCACCCATTCTCTGGGATTGCTCTACCACCCATTCTCTAGGACTGCTCTACCACCCATTCTCTAGGATTGCTCTACCACCCATTCTCTAGGACTGCTCTATCACCCATTCTCTAGGGTTGCTCTACCACCCCGCCCGTGTGTCACCGGGGCCCTCATGGGAAGCAAAGAATAGTGACACTGCACCATACCAGGCATGTCGTAAGAGGCGACTAAGGGTAGGGTTGGGCTTGAGGTTGGCTACCTCATCCTGTAAAAACCATAGCCACAAAAACCAACCAACCATGGATAAGTCAAAAAGAGAAGCAAATAAAATCCAGCCAACCAAGATGAGGGGAGGCTCTTCAAATAGAAGAAGTATGACACGGTGTGGAGAAAGCCGCAAGGAGTCCGGATCGTTGACTTACCTCCTCTCAGCTAGGAAAACCTCCAGAATTGGCACCTGGAATGTTAGAACTCTCTATGATATAGGGAGAACAATGGAAGTAGCAAAGGAAATGAAACATTATAGAATTAGTATTTTGGGGTTATGTGAAACTAGATGGACTGGGACAGGGAAAAGTATTCTCAATTCAGGAGAAACTATTTTGTTCTCAGGACACACAGAGGAAAATTCGCCGCACAGTGAAGGAGTGGCCCTGATGCTATCAAAAGAAGCAGACAGAGCACTAATAGAATGGGAAGCTGTGAGTCCCAGAATAATAAGAGCATCTTTAGAACAGTAAAACAGAAGGTGAACATGTCGGTAATACAGTGTTATGCACCAACAAATGATAAAGATGCATCTGTTAAGGAAGAATTTTACATGCAGCTTCAAAATATTATAAATAATGAAAGAAAGGGCAACTTAAAAATTTTGATGGGTGACTTGAATGCTAAGATAGGATCAGACAACACAGGTTATGAAGAAATATTATGGGAGACATGGTCTAGGAGTAATGAATGAAAATGGGAGAATTGTTCACAAACTTTTGTGCAGGTAACCAGTATGTTATTGGTGGAAGTATTTTTCCCATAAAAAAGTATACACAAGGCAACATGGGAATCACCAGACCATAAGACAACTAATCAAATTGACCACATTTGTATTAACAAAAAGTTTAGATCATCCCTTTACGATGTTAGGGCTTTCAGAGGTGCCCGATGTATTTACTGACCATTTCCTGGTGATAAGTAAAATCAAGTTGAAACTAAAAAGATATATAACATCTTATAATCATAGAAAACCAATATAATGTAGGCTTTCTCAGAGATAAAGAAATTAAGGAACAGTTTCAGTTACGGTCTCTAATAAGTACCAGGTGTTGCAGCAGTTAGCTGAAGATGTCAACACAGAAGTCTGCTGGGATCAGATCAAAGGAATCTAAAATGAATCTTGCGTAGAAGTTCTTGGCAAGAAAGAAAGGAAACATAAAGCATGGATAACACCAGAAAACCATTAAACTGATTGAAGATAGGAAAAAGTAAAAAGGGCAGAATTAAACAATAGCAAAACTAGAGCTGCTAAAGCTAGAGCTCAGGAGAATTACACAGAAGCCAACAAGGAAGTTAGGAGGCATATAAGGGGCAGATAAAGTGAAATATCTAAATGATCTAGCACAAGAAGCGGAGACAGCAGCAGCAAAAGGAAACCTCAGAGAACTTTACAGTAACACAAGAAAATTAGTAGGTAAATATAGTCAGCCAACTGGATCAATCAAAAAATAGTCAAGGAAAGGTACTTACTAACACTAAAGATCAAATGGACAGATGGGTTGAATATTTTGAAAATGCTTCTAAATAGACCAGGCCCAGAGGTTCCCCCCAGATATCCAGCCTTTAGAAATGGAACTGAATATCAACTGTGAGATACCATCCAAAGAGGAAATTAGAAAAGCTATAAATCTTCTTAAGGAAGGAAAGGCGTCAGGCCCAGATGGTATCCCAGCTGAAGCCATCAGGACCAACATAAACCACATCAACAGAATTGCTACATAGATTATTCAGTAAAGTCTGGGAGACCGAAGAAATACCAGCAGACTGGAGAGAAGGATATCTTGTGAAAAATGCCCAAAAAAGGTGATCTACAGGAGTGTGAAAACTATAGAGGAATTATGTTGCTGTCAGTTCCTGGAAAAATATTAAGTAGAATTATTTTGGAAAGATTAAAAGATGCTATTGATAAAATGCTAAGAGATGAGCAGGCAGGTTTTCGGTCCAACAGATCCTGTACTGATCAGATAGCCACATTACGTATTATAATAGAGCAAAGCATTGAACTGAAAAACTCACCACACTTCACATTGGATTTATAGACTATGAAAAAGCAATTTGACAGCATTGATAGGGAATCTCTCTGGAAATTGATGGGGCACTATGGAATCCCACAGAAAATTATCAACTTAGTAAAGGCAACATATAAAGACATGAAATGTCGAGTTCTTCATGAGGGAAAGCTAACAGATGCATTTGAAATAAAAAACAGGTGTGCGACAGGGATGTCTTTTGTCGCCTCTCCTATTTTTACTGGCTATAGACTGGACTATGAAAACAGTAATGCTAACACCAAGAATGGAATTCAGTGGACCCCTACAAAACAGCTTGATGATCTGGACTTCGCTGATGATATTGCCCTTCTGTCCCATTCACGGAATCAGATACAAGATAAATTATATATACTTAATGCGAGATCACAGCAGCTTGGTCTGAAAATCCATAAAGGAAAGACAAAGATAAAAAGAATAAATCAGGCAAATAGTAATGTGATTTCTCTTAATGGCACCCCACTCCAAGACGTGGAGTCGTACACCTATTTGGGCAGTAATGTAGATAAAGATGGAGGAACTGATAGAGATATTAAAATAAGAATACAAAAGGCAAGAGGGGCTTTCATAGCACTAGGGAATTTGTGGAGGTCAAAAGAAATTAAAAGAAATACTAAACTAAAAATTTTTAATTCTAATGTCAAATCAGTACTATTGTATGGGGCGGAAACATGGAGAACAACGAAGGCAATTACTAATAAATTACAGACATTCATTAACTGGTGCCTGCGCAGAATAGAGGGAATAAAATGGTATGATAGAATAACTAATGTAGAACTTTGGGAGAGAACTAAACAGGCTCCAGTGGATCAGGAGGTGAGGAAAAGACGCTGGCGTTGGATAGGGCACACACTGAGAAAACAGGAGAACAGCATAACTAGAATGTCTTTGCATTTGAACCCACAGGGGCATAGGAATAAAGGAAGGCCAAAAAACACATGGAGAAGAGAGCTGGAGAATGAGGTTAGAAAGATTGGGAGGACATGGGGAGAGCTCCATGTAATGGCGAAGGATAGAACGACTTGGCGTGAGTTGGTTGAGGGCCTATGCTCCATTGGAGGATAAAAAGGCAGAAGAAGAAGCAGCTCTACCACCCATTCTCTAGGACTGCTCTACCACCCATTCTCTAGAACTGCTCTACTGCCCATTCTCTAGGATTGCTCTACCACCCATTCTCTAGGATTGCTCTACCACCCATTCTCTAGAACTGCTCTACCACCCATTCTCTAGGATTGCTCTACCACCCATTCTCTAGGGTTGCTCTACCATCCATTCTCTAGGATTGCTCTACCACCCATTCTCTAGGATTGCTCTACCACCCATTCTCTAGGATTGCTCTACCACCCATTCTCTAGGATTGCTCTACCACCCATTCTCTAGGATTGCTCTACCACCCATTCTCTAGGATTGCTCTACCACACATTCTCTAGGATTGCTCTACCACACCATTCTCTATTGCTTAGCTTCTACTCACCCCATTCTCTAGGATTGCTCTACCACCCATTCTCTAGGATTGCTCTACCACACATTCTCTAGGATTGCTCTACCACCCATTCTCTAGGATTGCTCTACCACCCATTCTCTAGGATTGCTCTACCACCCATTCTCTAGGATTGCTCTACCACCCATTCTCTAGGATTGCTCTACCACCCATTCTCTAGGACTGCTCTACCACCCATTCTCTAGGATTGCTCTACCACCCATTCTTTAGAACTGCTCTACCACCCATTCTCTAGGATTGCTCTACCACCCATTCTCTAGGACTGCTCTACCACCCATTCTCTAGGATTGCTCTACCATCCATTCTCTAGGATTGCTCTACCACCCATTCTCTAGGATTGCTCTACCACCCATTCTCTAGGATTGCTCTACCACCCATTCTCTAGGATTGCTCTACCACCCATTCTCTAGGATTGCTCTACCACACATTCTCTAGGATTGCTCTACCACCCATTCTCTAGGATTGCTCTACCACCCATTCTCTAGGATTGCTCTACCACCCATTCTCTAGGATTGCTCTACCACCCATTCTCTAGGATTGCTCTACCACCCATTCTCTAGGATTGCTCTACCACCCATTCTCTAGGATTGCTCTACCACACATTCTCTAGGATTGATCTACCACACATTCTCTAGGATTGCTCTATCAACCATTCTCTAGGATTGCTCTCCCACCCATTCTCTAGGATTGCTCTACCACCCATTCTCTAGGATTGCTCTACCACCCATTCTCTAGGATTGCTCTACCACCCATTCTCTAGGATTGCTCTACCACCCATTCTCTAGGATTGCTCAACTCACCTGGCGATGCTTGTCTAGGATGTTTCCAAAGAACCTGTAGGAATCTGGGAAGCCCTGGGAGCGTGCACACTCCCTGACACTGACCACCCGATGCTGCTCAGGATGAAGAACTCTGCCCTATGTGTGGGACATAGCAGAAAGAACACTTGTCAAACCTTTAGTGAAGAACATCGTCAAACCTCTACTGAGGAACACTGTCAAACCTTTAGTGAAGAACATCGTCAAACCTCTACTGAAGAACACTGTCAAACCTCTGCTGAAGACCTCATTTAAAAAAAAAATTTTTCAGGTTAAATATTTTCATTCAAACTGTGTCTCTTTACCGCCAATCTTCTGTAGGGTTACAGATTTTTATTTAAACTAAGTCTCTTTACAGCCAATCAACTGCAGTGTTAAATATTTTCATTCAAACTGTGTCTCGTTACAGCCAATCGGTGTGCAGTCTAGTTGTGAATGTGCCATCCCGGATCATACAAATGCTCCTTCTTCTTCTGAGTTTGCCCTTACAATGGCATTCTGCACCACATTGTGGCGTACAGCTAGGCTGCTGTTCTTCATCTTCATCTTCAATAACTGTAAAGTCCAGCAAAAAAGTTCTTGTTGTTTGTCAACTTTTGGACTTTAGTCTTGTCCCAGAAGCTCAGTTTTTGGCTGCACATCCATTTTACAGACCTGGCTTATTTGTATGCAGACTATTGGTTCCTCACCTCTCAGGCAGCTGGATTCCGATTTCAAAGGAAAAAAACTTCTAATTAGCTACTCTTTGTTACAGATGCACTGTTTGATGCTCATGTTTTCACAAGACCAAACCATTTGACTCACAGAATCACAGAATTAGTAATGTCTCGCTCCGTCCGTTTGGCTAAGCCATCCAGGTATTGATCACTTCCCCTAGCTCTCTCTCAACCAATCCTGCCAAGTTCTCAAGTCCATTCCGTCTCATAAAATGTTGAAAAACACTGTCAACATCAGTGTTCCTCAAACCATTCACACCCGTGGCCTATCAAAACAGGAGAAATTATTTTGCGGACCAGCTGACAGCTAACTAAGGACAGAAACATAGCCATCCTAACCATCCGGTTTTGTAACCATCAGGTGCCCTAAAGAAACTGTTTTATGCGGTTGAACAAGGTTCACCTACACATTTCCATGGCCCACTGGTTGAGGAGCATTGGTCTGCGTTTAATTTATAACTAGGTCACAATTTATAATTTTAAAGTCACAATTTATAAGTCCCAATTTATAATTTGTAAGTCCCAATTTATTATTTATAAGTCACAATTTGTAAGTCCAAATTATATAGGTATTTCGTCCTTTTTAGGACAAAATTTTTTGTTATTTGAAGCCCCACCCTGACTTTTGCCAGCGGCCGCAATATAGGCAGGTCATAAATATGGCCAATTGTCTGAACGCGGTTTCTGGGACCTCTCCACGCAATCCTCATCCACATGGTGGCACTTTGTGTCATCAGGTGTTTATCGCTTGTGTGATGTCCTAGAGGGGTAGAAAGTCAGTCAGTCAGTCAAGTCCAAATTTATAATTTATAAGTCACAATTTATAAGTCCCAATTTATCATTTATAAGTCCCAATTTATAATTTATAAGTCTAAATTTATCATTTATAAGTCCCAATTTATAATTTATAAGTCACAATTATAATTTATGTCACATTTTATAATGTGTAAGTTAAATTTATAAGGCACAATTTATAAGGCACAATTTATAATTTATAAGAAAGCCACAATTTATAGCCATCCAGCAAAGTGTTTTAAATGATAACACCAACAACAACAAAAGACCCACCTGTTTGCCCATGGGTTCAGGGTTGGTGACTGTGGTGCTGAAAAAGCCGTCCCACTCCACGCGTCCGTACAGGCCGGCCCAGTGGTTGTGTCTGTTGCCAGTGTGCGGCAGGCACCAGGGGATGAGGGTATTGAACTGTCGGTCCATCGGATCACACTGTCGGCCAGTTGCACAGCTGCAGACACCTCGTCTCTGTCCGTTTGACCCCTTCCCATTTCTCTTATCCGGATATGGATAAAGTCTTAAGGGGAAAAGAAACTCATTATAAATCAGTAAATTAGATGGCAAATATTTTATTTCTTTTTATAATGAACTATGACATAATTTATCAATCAGTACATCCTCTTCTTCTTCTTTCGTTCGCTTGAAATAGATGATCTATATCTGCAATATTGTCTCTAGTATGAACTTCACCGTCTTTTGTCATTCAATCAGCGACCCGTAAAGACTGACTCGCACCAGTGTTTCTCCTCGCCAAAAGCTTTGCAATCAATAAACCAATCAACCACCCAAAGTTAGCTGTGTATCCTTTACAGGACATTTCAGAACCAATCATGATACCCTTTTTTTTTTTTTTGTGGTTTTTTTTTTAACTAGTTAATTTTAATTTTACATTCAGTAGTTTGCCCCTGCTTTCTGCATGGTCGGCGCTCAATGCCGCAGCAGAAGTCAACACAAAGGGGTTTGCTGTCAAACTGCCTGCTGATTTGAATGAGATATTTCAGAATTATGAAGCACATCTGCAACACCTGATTCATAATGCCAATCATTTTAAAAACTCATCCATAAAGAATATTTATAGCATGTGTCATTCTCGTAGACATATTTTGGGATCCTTATGGTACTACAGACTGCATTGTGCTGGAGGGGAGGGGAGGGGAGGGGGGGGGGGGGGAGAGAAGGGTTAAGCTCACTGTCTCTCTAACAAGTATGTCCTAGGAGGCAACTAATGAGGGGTGTTTCATTAAATATCAGACGCATGCTGCATACAAGTAAGCAGATCTGTGAAATGGATATGCACACAAAATAACCAGGACCTTCCACCAGAGTTTACAGCCGCTGAACGTGAAGAAGATGAAACTGTCAGGGAACAAAGTACTCACAGCTTCTTTGTCTTGGTTCCATCAGAGAGCCGGAGTTCCAAGTTAGGCAGGTCCCGCCAGTCTGATCCTGGCGTTAGAGGGATGTGCATCATTCGAGCAGCCACCAGGGCGCTCATCTCTTTACAGATGTGATCTCTCAGAACGGTCTGCTGATGGCTGCCGCGGATCAACCGCTGGAAGTGGGTCTGGGCGTCACCTGGTAGATAAATAAAGCTGATCGATTGAACATTTGCATGACATGAAAGCTGAGGTCCACAAACTAACACACACACACACATAACAGTCCCTGTAGGTCAGCACTATTCAACTGGCGGCCTGCAGACTAGAACCGGTCCACAGAAGCCTAGCAAGTGGCCCGTGGATCTTCACCAGCTGTACTGTATTAATGATTTTTCTATGCTGGGGTTCAGGCCCCTAGTCCATGACAGTCCCAGTTTTCATCTTTTTTTTTTAACCCCTGAGCAAATAAGAATAGCACTGTAGTTGGTAGCTAGTTAATCAATTTTTTTCCTCCATCTTTTCTCTTTCTCTCTTCTTTTTTTTTTTTTTTTTTTTTTTTTTTTTTTTTTTTTCTATGTTTACCCTTTTTCTCTCATTCTCAACTTTCTCAATTTATATACCTTCATGAAATCGATTGTTTTATCACATTTATCCCCCCTTGCTCAGTCTCTGCCTCTCTCTGTGAGAGTCCCAACGAGAGCAGGAACCTCATTTAAAAAAAACTTTTCCCCGCCTTCAAGCGTAGTGGGTATATAGGGCTAGACCTATATTTTCAGACCAATCAGCACTCGGTGGATGATGCAGACAACAAGACACAAGCCACCTTTACTTCCCAGTACTTTATCTAGTACCCATTTAAGGCTAGCTTGATCTTGGAGCCAAAGTCATACTTTAAAAAAAAATCTAGCTCTATTCAGATCTGTAGAAGAATGTCTGGCCACTACATCATGGCAGCCAGGAACCTCACAGCTTCAGTGGAAAATCCCAGAAACCTCCCAAAAAAATATTGCACTCACAAGAAAAAACAAGCACATGAGTTCAGAACATGAGGTTAACGGCTTGACCAATTCCCCAGACACCAATGTTGGGTATCATCCAGCAGACGTGTGTTTTATGCCCCCGCATATGAGTATGCTCTCTCCCTCTCTCTCTCTCCCCTCTCCCCTCCCCCCCTCTCTCTCTCCCCCTCTCTCTCTCCCTCCCCTCTCTCCCCCCCCCCTCTCTCTCCTCTCTCTCTCTCTCTCTCTCCCCCCCCCTCTCCCCCCTCTCCCCTCTCCCCCTCCCTCTCTCTCTCCCCCCCACCCTCTCTCTCTCCCCCCCTCTCTCTCTCTCTCCCCCACCCTCTCTCTCTCTCTCTCCCTCCCCCCTCTCTCTCTCCCCCCCTCCCTCTCTCCCCCCTCTCTTTCCCTCTCCCCCCCTCTCTCTCCCCCCTCTCTCCCCCCCCCCCCTCTCTCTCCCCCCCTCTCTCTCTCTCTCCCCCCTCTCTCTCTCTCCCCCCCCTCTCTCTCCCCCACCCCTCTCTCTCCCCCACCCCTCTCCCCCCCCTCTCCCCCCCCCCTCTCTCTCTCTCTCTCTCCCCTCTCTCCCCCCCCCCTCTCCCCCTCCCCACCCTTCCCTCTCTCTCTCCTTCTTCTTCTTCTTCTTAGTGTTCACCGGTTATAAACTCCAGCAAAAAGTTCTAGTTATTCGTCCACTTCTGGATTTAAGCCTTGTTTCAGAACTTGAATTTTACGAGTAAATCCTTCACATATCTGCTTATTTATATGCAGACCGCTGGTTCCTCGCCTCTCAGGCAAAAGCGCTCAGATTCCAGAGAAGGTATGCTCAGATCATATGCACTGCTGGCCTAACAATTCAGAAACAAAACAACCAGTTCCAGATCAACAATACTGAACAACCTGGTGTGACAGTAATGTCACAAAACAGCAACTACTGTTCACTGCCTCTTGCTGACAATACAACCAGAAAAGAACATCATCTTTCACTTCTTCAGAATTACAAGCCCTTGAGATTCATTGTTGCAGTTATCACCCACCTCTCTGGTTGACCTTCTCTTTGCAAGTGATAGCTGCGAGTGTTTGTAGATCTTTCTGTTTACAAAATTTCCACCGCTTTCTTGGTCTGCCTCAGGGGTTTGCTCCCATTCAACTCTTTTGTTGTGTAGTTTTTGTGCTATCTGCCAGTCTCTCCAAATGCCTCGACCATTTCAATGGGAAAGAACAAAATCATATTGGATAGAATTTACCTTTATAAGAAATTTCTTCAGCTTTGGCCCCGTTTCTGATTTCGGGCAGGTCTGACATGGAATCTCTGACTGTGATCGTTCGATATGGAGCAGACGCTGTGTACGTAATGTTGGAGACAAACTGAAAGAAAACAGCTATAATGAGGGTGCCATTCCAACAACACCATGCAACAAGTTCATCCAAAAAATTGTATCAAGGAATCAGAAAATAAAACATATAGAGATGTAGACCAGACTACAAGCATTTGGACTGAAGATCCACACTGACATCATTCTTGTGCACTGTTATACGCCACACAGGGCTTGAAGTTTTTTTCTTTCATTTTATTCTGTCCTGAGTAATTGTTTTAATACCAAGGGTGCAATCCAGTCCAGAACATTTGGCATTTCTCTTCAGTGTTTTCCTTAGAGTTTCTTTCTGACGTCATCTTATAAAGCCATGTTTCCCGTTTCAGTGCCTGTTTGGTGATTATCTGTCTGTCCTCCGGGTACAGATTATCTGTCTGCTTGTCCTCCAGGTACAGAATATCTGTCTGCTTGTCCTCCGGGTACAGATTATCTGTCTGCTTGTCCTCCACGTACAGATTATTTGTCTGCTTGTCCTCCAGGTACAGTCTGCTTGTCCTCCACGTACAGATTATCTGTCTTTGCTTGTCCTCCAGGTACAGATTATCCGTTTGCTTGTCCTCCAGGTACAGATTATCTGTCTGCTTGTCCTCCAGGTACAGATTATCTGTCTGCTTGTCCTCCAGGTACAGATTATCTGTCTGCTTGTCCTCCGGGTACAGATTATCTGTCTGCTTGTCCTCCAGGTACAGATTATCTGTCTGCTTGTCCTCCACGTACAGATTATCTGTCTGCTTGTCCTCCAGGTACAGATTATCTGTCTGCTTGTCCTCCACGGTACAGATTATCTGTCTGCTTGTCCTCCAGGTACAGATTATCTGTCTGCTTGTCCTCCAGGTACAGATTATCTGTCTGCTTGTCCTCCAGGTACAGATTATCTGTCTGCTTGTCCTCCGGGTACAGATTATCTGTCTGCTTGTCCTCCAGGTACAGATTATCTGTCTGCTTGTCCTCCACGTACAGATTATCTGTCTGCTTGTCCTCCACGTACAGATTATCTGTCTGCTTGTCCTCCAGGTACAGATTATCTGTCTGCTTGTCCTCCAGGTACAGATTATCTGTCTGCTTGTCCTCCAGGTACAGATTATCCGTCTGCTTGTCCTCCCGGTACAGATTATCTGTCTGCTTGTCCTCCAGGTGCAGATTATCAGTCTGCTTGTCCTCCAGGTACAGATTTACTGTCTGCTTGTCCTCCAGGTACAGATTATTTGTCTGCTTGTCCTCCGGGTACAGATTATCTGTCTGCTTGTCCTCCAGGTACACCCAATATATCACCACCTTTGTTTTATAACTTGACATCAGTGGCTATCCAGACATTTCTCTTATATCATCATCATTAATTTCTACTTTGCTGTGTCAAAGAGAGGAACAGTCTGTGATCCAATATTTAATGGGTAGCAATGGCTATGTCATTCTGTGTCGATGTGTAAGCTCTTTAATGTCATCAATCCATATTCTCCTGGGGCGACCTCGTGGTTTTACATCAGATTTTTTTATGTATAGCACCTGTGTTGGTAGTTTTCCTCAGACAGCTGACTTTACGGGTGTTAACTTTACGTAGGTTAGTCACAATTCTACATCAGATTTTTTTATGTATAGCACCTGTGTTGATAGTTTTCCTCAGACAGCTGACTTTACGGGTGGTAACTTTACGTAGGTTAGTCACAATTTTACACCAGATTTTTTTATGTATAGCACCTGTGTTGATAGTTTTCCTCAGACAGCTGACTTTACGGGTGGTAACTTTACGTAGGTTAGTCACAATTTTACACCAGATTTTTTTTTTATCTATAGCACCTGTGTTGATAGTTTTCCTCAGACAGCTGACTTTACGGGTGGTAACTTTACGTAGGTTAGTCACAATTTTACACCAGATTTTTTTATGTATAGCACCTGTGTTGATAGTTTTCCTCAGACAGCTGACTTTACGGGTGGTAACTTTACGTAGGTTAGTCACAATTTTACACCAGATTTTTTTTTTTTATCTATAGCACCTGTGTTGGTAGTTTTCCTCAGGCATCTGACTTCCCGGGTGTTCATTTTATGTAGGCTAGCATTTGATAGTGTCCAGTTCTGGCACTGGTAGCACAGTGCTGGCATAAATAAGCTGTTTATCATCTGCTTCTTGGCGTTTATTCATATGTTTGGACTTCTTGGCGTTCCTTCTTATGTTTGTGGATGTCTCTTTACTCTTTATGTGCGGAGAGAAAAACAGACAACCTACAATGATAATTTACCAACAGAACCTACAATGATAATTTACCAACAGAACCTACAATGATAATTTACCAACAGAACCTACAATGATAATTTACCTTTTTATCATCAACCATCACCGACAGTTGCATGGCCTGTGGGGCAAAGGCATGCATGGGTTCTGGATAGTATGGCAACTTCTCTCCTGGCGCAGCAGCTAGGATGATAGCTCTCCTCCTGGTTTGTGCAACACCGTAACTTCCAGCCTGTTATGAGAAAAATTATAACCTCAGTAACACTAACATCATTTAAGATGATGCACAGTCCATTCCAGTTACACAAAACTCTTATAGAAACATTGACGATGTTAATGTTTACATTTCTGTATTCTTTGAAACATTAAACAAATATAAATATTCAACAGATAAATATAAGATTATTAAAAATGATTTACACGCTCTCATTCATGTATATTTTCTTGAATATATATTCAATAAAAATAAAATACATACTAGAGAGAGTGGAAGGTCTGTAGTTTTGAACACAAGCCGTACAGCACAGTTGTGTAACCAAACATCCGAGTATCACAGCTGCAGTAAACTCAGTTAAGCAAGAGATGCTCCAACGTGTGTGGGATAAGTTCAGCTACCACTTAGATTTGCAGTGGCCAAACTGAACATCTATTAAACTTTAAACCTTCCTCTCTCTCTCTTGTATGTATATAAAAAATATGTAATGTATATTCAAAGAGATTTATATGAATGAAAGTGTGTTCATAATTTTTTTTTTGAATACCCTGTTCTAAGACAAATCTTTAAATGTAACACAGCTAAAAAGATACTTTTTTCTGATTTGAGAATTCACTTCACAGCACACCAGGCATGCCCAAAAATGTTTAGTCTCCCACAGCAAATGTCTTAAGGTGAAGATGCTAACTGTTCCCATAGCACGTTGATTATATACATGTCGCTTTCTTCCTCTCATAAATACCACACCCACACCTAATTCACACATTATTTAATCGAAACTCATGTTTTCTATTAACATTCAGTGGCAGTGGTCTTCAGAATGTTTCCTTTATCCATCACTAGTTTGTCCCATAGCTATCGCTCTCGTAGCTTTTATTCCCTCCCTCATGCAGATCCCAGACAGTATATCCATGTGAGTGCCTGTAATCTTCTTCTTCTTCGCGTTCACCAGTTGTACACTCTGGTGGAAAGTTCTGGTTGTTCGTCCACTTCTGAACTGTAGTCCTGCTCCAGAACCTGAGTGTTGCGTGTGCATCCGTTTTACAGATCTGATTCACTTGAATGCAGACTGTTGGTTCCTTGCCTCTCAGGCAGATGCACTCCGACTTCAAAGGAAGCTCCCCAATTAGTCAACTCTTACGACATGCTTTTGGGTAGGCAGAGGGTTTATTCTTGTTTTCCCCCACAATGGGGCCCCGGAACCCACATAGGGCCTGTAATGTTAACGTGCTGCTGCTTGATACCCACCCATGCCACCTCTGTCCATTTGTAATCCTCTGCAGTACCTACTGAGAATCAGACCCAGTAGTTCCTCTGGTGACTCCCCTCAATTTGCTATAGGGAAGATGCATGCTCTCAAAATTCTGACTTCGATTTCTTTGCTTAACCATAAACTTTAAAAATAATCAAGATACCCACCTGTAATACACCAAATGTACACTGGTATCCCATTCGCAACAAGCTGCGCAGTGCCAGCTTCAGTACCATGCTGCGTTTGAAGGAGACAAAGTTGCGCACATTCTCCAGGACAAAGAAGCGAGGCCTGTAGTAGTCACAGTAGCTGAGGTACGAGGCGATGAGCGAGTTCTTGAACTGAGAATATTCTCGTGAGTTGAAGCGGTTCATACCACTAAATCCCTGACATGGTGGGCCTCCACACAATAATTCAACATCACCTGCCAACAACAACAACAAATCTGTGAATGTTTGTGCATGTACACATGACTAATGCAGTCCATAATTCAACATTACCTGCCAACAACAACAACAAATCTGTGAATGTTTGTGCATGTACACATGACTAATGCAGTCCATAATTCAACATCACCTGCCAACAACAACAAATCTGTGAATGTCTGTGTATGTACACATGACTAATGCAGTCCATAATTCAACATCACCTGCCAACAGCAACAACAAATCTGTGAATGTCTGTGTATGTACACATGACTAATGCAGTCCTCATCATCATGTCCCCTGTTGATAAGCCAAGGCTGCCATGTTGCACCACATCACACAATCACGGATCAGATCAGCGTTCTTGTCGCCCTATCTATATTATATTGTTTCTTTCTCCTTGCTATTTTTTTTTTTTTCACCTCTTGCTAGTTGTAACCAAGTTCTTGAGTCTGTTCCTTACCATAACATTCCTCCTTCTCCCCCCTCTCCCCCAAACCAAATCCACTCACTCACTCTCACACTCTCTCTCTTAGTCGCGTGCACGCGCACACGCACAGAGAGAGAGAGAGATGAGAGAGAGTGACAGACAGAGAGAGAGATATGAGAGAGACTATTTAATTTCTCAAAATTTCTCTAATCTGTCTTCTGATTCAGTAGAGAATTTTTTTTTTATTATTAAAACAAATTTTTTTTACACATTTTCATTGAGTCTTAAGACAAATCTTTGGACCCAGCAAAGATGCAAACAGCAGGAATGAATAGTAAGAAGCAACAACGAAATTCATAATCTGTTTACATCACCATTGATCACTGGCATCATGAGATCTAAAAGACTCAAATTGCTGGGGCATAGTGAAAGAATGTCAGATGACAGAGAGTTAAAAACTGTATACACAAGGGAGGTGTATGGTCGTAGACCACAAGGCAGACCAAGAAGACAGTGGAGAGATAATGTACAGACAGACCAACAAACACTTGGTGTCACCAACTGGCAAGAGAAGGCAAACCAAAGATAAATGAAGGCGGGTGATATCGCAATGTTGAAAAAGAAAACAAAAACTAGACCTTCCCCAGCATTTTTTAGCTGTTTGGTTTTACTAGGCAATAATATGTTTAGTAGTTTGCCACTGTTTCTAAACAGTCAATCAAACCACTGTAAGAAATAATGCAAAGCTGTCCGCTGTGAAATCACTTGCAGCTGAATTGAATGGATACGGTATGTCAGAATTATGAAACTGCACATCAATGTTAGGGACAACTGATCAATATGGGATGTGACTGGTATAAAATAAATAAAGGAAACAAAATAACTGTTTCATTAAGCCAGAAATAACTGGTATAATGTGAGCTAAGAGCACAAAAAGCGCATTTAGTTCAATAATAAACTTGAACAAAGACACAAACAATAGGTTGCACAATTTATTACCTGGCATATTTCGCTGTATTTCGTCATGTGCATACTACAGTAACAATTGATTAAAATGAAGCAAATAAATTAAAACCTTTAAACTGAAACACAAATTTGACTTCCTTCCCACACGGTCTGTTTCACCAAGGTAACCACACAGTGACGAGCATGTCCTTCTGTCTGCATAATTCTGGATGACGAGATACAGCGAAATATGCCAGGCAATAAATTGTGCAATCTATTGTTTGTGTCTTCTTTGTTTAAATTCACAACGGGGAAACATTGCTTTAAATAATAAACTGACAAAAACAGAAAGCAGAAGCAGCCAGTTTTACAAGAACACAATGACGAGTGACAGGATTACTAGTACAAAGTGAGCTGAGGTAATAAAAAAAATTTTGCTTTAATTATGTGGCAATTACTCTATTTATACCGAATAGCTGAAAAAAGAATATGAATTCTGGCTGGCTGGAAAAATTATGTGTATTCTGACTGGCTGTAAAAACGACGTGTATTCTGACTGGCTGGAAAAACGACGTGTATTCTGACTGGCTGGAAAAATGACGTGTATTCTGACTGGTTGGATAAAGAAAATGTATTCCCATTGGGCAGATAAGGGGCGTGCATTTTATAAGGACAGGAAAACATGTATTCTGACTGGCTGGATAAAAAATAGATATTCTGACTGGCTGGATAAAAAATAGATATTCTGACTGGCTGGATAAGAAATAGATATTCTGACTGGCTGGATAAAAAATAGATATTCTGGCTGGCTGGATAAAAAATAGATATTCTGACTGGCTGGATAAAAAATAGATATTCTGACTGGCTTGATAAAAAATAGATATTCTGACTGGCTGGATAAAAAATAGATATTCTGACTGGCTGGATAAAAAATAGATATTCTGACTGGCTGGATAAAAAATAGATATTCTGACTGGCTGGAAAAAAAATAGATATTCTGACTGGCTGGATAAGAACATGTTCACCCTCTACTCCAAAGAAGTAAACTGTACCTTTCTGTGGTAACTTCTGTCCAAGTTCATCTTTGGTGTCTCCTTGCATCACCCTTTGCAGCAATAGGTTGCAGTCATCGGTAAAGACAATACACTTGGGGTTATTCAAGCGAAACGCTTGAGCAGCCGGTTCCTCTTTCTCAATGGCCCAGCAGCTCTCAGCCATGCCGGCTTGGTGAAACCCTTCAGATAGCCCTTTAGATCAAACATGAAATTGTGATAGATTTTGCTGAGATATGGTATGGTTATTCAATATATACGCAGAAAATATCATGAGAAATGTCAAAAATGACCAGACTTGTGACAGTTATGATCCGCTCAAAATTGGTGGCAAACCTATTCCGGAACTCCGCAGATGACACAGTCCTCCTTTCGAACAGCGTAAAGGGAATAGAAAATTTAATATTGTCTGTCCAAAAGCACAGTGAAGATCAAAATCTGTTCTTGAATTTAAAGAAAACAAAAATAATGTCCACAGATAAAACTGGCTGTCACCCAAAAATAACAATAAATGATGAAGAAATTGAAAATGTTACAAACTTTGAATATCTAGGCTCTATAATAAACAACAATGGAGACTGTTCGACAGAAATTAAAAGGAGGATGGCCATAGCAATGCAAAGATTGAACAGCCTTAAAAGTCTATGGTTAAGCACCAGCAAGGAGATCAAAATTAGAATTCTGAGAGCATGCATCTTTCCTGTGGCTACATATGGATGTGAGTCGTGGACTATCTCTTAGTCCTTAAGGGGCTTTTGAGCTGAAATGCTATAGAAAGATTCTCAGAATATCTTGGACAAAGAAGATGAGAAATATTGACATCTTAAAAGATCTGAACATCAAGAAAGATTGGCTAATAAACAGCATCCTTTCTCGAAAGCTGAAATATTGTGGTCATATCAAGGGCCACAAAGGATTGGAAAAAATTATAGCAGAAGGCATGGTACCAGGAAGGAGGGGCAGGGGCCCTAGACACGAAGATGGGCACAAGATATAGGTGACTCCTTGATGGTGAAAGTGCATGTGGCGGAGAACTGGCGAGAGACCGAATTTCTTTCAGGCAGACTGTGATGAGAGCGACGTTCTGCAAAGGACCTGCTACATGATGATGATGGTATGGTTAATTAAGGGAATTGTACCTCTTCCCCTTTCTTGTTTTTTTTTTTTTTTCTTTTCATTGTCTTCATCTTGTGATTATGCCTGTCTTATTTCACAATTTCTGATGGTAATAATGACCTTTTAAATGTTTCATAAAACACAGCTGGTTTTGATGGCCTTATGTTTCATGAAATATAACTTCTTCTTCTTAATTTGTGTTCACCAGCTGTAAACTCAGGCGGAAAGTTCTGGTTGCTCGTCCACAACTGAACTGCAGTCCTGCTCCAGAACCTGAGTGTTGCGTGTGCATCAGTTTTACAGATCTCATTCTCTTGAATACAGATTGCTGGTTCCTTGCCTCTCCGGCAGATGCACTCCGACTTCAAAGGAGGCTCCCCAATTAGTCGACTCTTACGACATGCTTTTGGGAAGGCAGTGGGTCTATTCTTGTTTTCCCCACAATGGGTCCCTGGAACCCACACGGGGAGAAATATAACTGATTCTGATAAACCAATAATGAAAAATGCAATATAATTAACTTTCATAACCTGGCAATGTTTTTTATGAAATACGACACGAAATGTGGCGTCCGTGGCTAAGGCGTTGCGAGTCCGACTCGTAAGCCAGCATACCGCGATCGAAACCCACTGCAGGCTGCGTGGATTTTTGTCGTGGTATGGGATGTCACAGGTCGACCCAGCCTAAAATGGGTACCAGGATGGGCTGTCCTGGGAAAGTAAAGACAGCCAGCGTAATGCTGACCACATTACCCACAGAGTGCTGATGGTCTGTAAAAATATGGGACGCTCTGCCCATATGCCCGATGCGCCGAAAGGCGTGAAAAGGGATCTTTACTTACGACACGAAATATTCGGATAAGATGGCAACCTATTATGAAATACATCTGAAAATCTGGCGTTAAATACTGTTTATTCTATTATACTTTCTCTTAAATTTCACACAATGCACCTGCCTCTGACGATGAAACAAAGCCTTCGGTGAAATAGAATAAATCTGCTTCTGACGATGAAACAAATCCTTCAGTGAAATAGAATAAATCTGCTTCTGACGATGAAACAAATCCTTCAGTGAAATAGAATAAATCTGCTTCTGACGAATGAAACAAAGCCTTCAGTGAAATAGAATAAATCTGCTTCTGACGATGAAACAAATCCTTCAGTGAAATAGAATAAATCTGCTTCTGACGATGAAACAAATCCTTCAGTGAAATAGAATAAATCTTCCAATGACTGAGCTCTTCTTCAATGACATATAATACATTGAAAACTGCTGATAAAGAAGTCTGGCAACCTATATGGTAAACCTCTACACCTCAAGGTGGAAGAGGTTCCACAAAGTAAGTAATTTATCTGTACACAGCTTCTGATGATCAAGCTGATTTTAAATGAAATGTAATACAGCTGTTTCTGATAAACGAGCTGATTTTCAATTAAATGACCGAGCTAATCCTTAATAAAATATAACTGATTCTGTTGAATGAGCGAATCCTTAATGGAATATAATACAACTGGTTGTGATAACTGAGCTAGTCCTTAGTGAAATACAATACAACTGGTTGTGATAAGTGAGCTAGTCCTTAGTGAAATATAATACAACTGATTGTGATAAGTGAGCTAGTCCTTAATGAAATATATAACTGATTGTGATAAGTGAGCTAGTCCTTAATGAAATACAATATAACTGATTGTGATAAGTGAGCTAGTCCTTAATGAAATACAATACAACTGATTGTGATAAGTGAGCTAGTCCTTAATGAAATACAATACAACTGATTGTGATAAGTGAGCTAGTCCTTAATGAAATACAATATAACTGGTTGTGATAAGTGAGCTAGTCCTTAATGAAATACAATACAACTGATTGTGATAAGTGAGCTAGTCCTTAATGAAATACAATACAACTGGCTGTTATGACTGAGCTAGTCCTTAGTGAAATACAATACAACTGGTTGTGATAAGTGAGCTCATCTTTTATAAAACAGAATAAAGCAAGTATAAAAACTTGAGACAAAACTACTAACCTCCGCACCCAGCAAAAACATCCAGTGTGCGCAGCCGATGGACCTCCACATTTTTCACCACACTGTCCTCGGACTCCGCTTCAACCTTGTTACTTGACTTGCCCTTCCCCTTGCCTTTTCCTTTACCCTGTTTAACAAAAACAATAATGCTGCTGAAATATCACAGCTCCCTGGGCTGATTCCTAAGACTATTTTCATGAGGCAGGGATTAAGAATAGACCCATTTCCCCTCAATTTGAATGCCGCAAAATGTGACCAATAATAGGTTCGCATAAATTGGATGTGTTTCGACAAAAGGTGTAGATAAGCTTCGCTGTAAACTACAACATAATATGCCAGCTGCTCTTTTAAGGGCGATCGCAGAAGAAGAAATACCAGTGCAGTTTGTCTCCTGTGGGTATTTTGACTACTGCCCACCCAAAGGATATTTGATCTATTGCCTGTTCTTCAAAAGTTGAGTTGAGTTGAGTAAAGAATCGACAACACAGCACTCGGGGCATTCCCATGCATGCTCCGTCCTCATCTTCAGCAGCCAGCGAAGTTCCAGTACTGATGGTACCGGTCACAATCTGGTTATATGTCTATCTTGCCCTTCTTCTGAGTGTAGTGAGCCGGCCAGACCCTCTGGTTACACCCAGGTGCCTCATTCTCTCCAGGCCATAATAATCTTGTTTCTCTACTGATTCCGTTGCTTGTTCCCAAAGGGCCTTGACCACATCTGCCTTGTCGTGTATCAATTCACCACCCAGTGGTGCAGATCCAGCCAATCTGTCTGTCTGTCCATTACCCACCACGCCGGCATGGCCTGGAGATCTTCAAAAACTAGTAAGCAGTTTACCCACGGGTAGAGAGAGCCCATTTTCTTGTACTGAATCTGTCTGGATAAAGTAAAGAACCAATACATTCCAAAGTCAATCCCCGTCTGAGTGTTACCGGGGCCCTCAGGAAAACACAGAATAGTGACACTACACTATCCCAGGCAGGTTATGACATGAAAGCAACGAAGGTTGCAAACTTTATCACAAAATACCAAAGCCATAAAAACAAAACCAACTCTGAAAATAAAGGCAAATAAAGGGATAAATACTAACCAAACAACCAGAATTGGGTGGGGGGAAAGGGGGGGAGGGTGTGTTCCCATATCCCTCAGGGTGGCGTAGCGCCCACTGTGGGAAACGGTTTAAGAATTTAATTTTTTTGTTTAATTCTTTCAAACTTATGGACAAATGTATCAGAGTGAAATAAAAATAGGGTGAGCTGCATGCAATAGCAAAGGACTGGATGGTCTGGTGTGAGCTGGTTGGGGGCTTATGCTCCACTGGAGGATACAGGACAGACAAAGAAAGTTAATCTCTGATCTAGATCAGTGCCTAAAGTGTAACCATTACTTTTTTTTTTCTTTTTTTTTCAAAGTAAAGAAGCATAGCAGGAAGCCGATAAATCAGCTGCTCTCAACATACCATTTGCAATCTTTTTTTTTTGGGAGGATTGAACGATCCTTTCACAGGGGTCGCCTGACCATCAGAAAAAAAACACATATTTATTGAAGTTATGGAGGAAAATAATTGTCTGGGAGCCGCCACAACATGAGGGAACTGTATTAAAAGGTCGCCACAACATGAGGAACTGTATTAAAAGGTCGCCACAACATGAGGGAACTGTATTAAAGGGTCGCCACAACATGAGGGAACTGTATTAAAGAGTCACCACAACATGAGGGAACTGTATTAAAGGGCCGCCACAACATGAGGGAACTGTATTAAAGAGTCACCACAACATGAGGGAACTGTATTAAAAGGTCGCCACATTATGAGGGAACTGTATTAAAGGGTCGCCACAACATGAGGGAACTGTATTAAAGGGCCGCCACAACATGAGGGAACTGTATTAAAAGGTCGCCACAACATGAGGGAACTGTATTAAAGGGTCGCCACAACATGAGGGAACTGTATTAAAGAGTCACCACAGCATGAGGGAACTGTATTAAAGAGTCACCACAACATGAGGGAACTGTATTAAAGGGTCGCCACAACATGAGGGAACTGTATTAAAGGGTCGCCACAACATGAGGGAACTGTATTAAAGGGTCGCCACAACATGAGGGAACTGTATTAAAGGGTCGCCACAACATGAGGGTACTGTATTAAAGGGTCGCCACAACATGAGGGTACTGTATTAAAGAGTCACCACAACATGAGGGCACTGTATTAAAGGGTCGCCACAACATGAGGGAACTGTATTAAAGAGTCACCACAACATGAGGGTACTGTATTAAAGGGTCGCAGCATTAGGAAGTTTGAGAGCCACTGCTGTAAATGGTAATAAAACCAAAGACAAAACAAACAAATTAACTATCAAGCAAACAAATAAAAATTCTGCTGTCTCCACAATGGAGGATAGATGCAAAATATCCACTGCTAACTATAGAAATATTATGTGGTAAGATCCCAATCTCTTCTAAGGTGTGACTCTTGTACTACTGTCTGAAAGCCATGGGAACGGTCTTTTCCATGGGTATCGAACCCTGGTAAAAGTAGAGGATTGCTCTGCAAAACCATTTAACCCTCATGCCACAGAGCCGCATAAGAAGATCACGAAGAAATAAACACCATCAAACATACTGTTGTTACCTTTCCTTTACTGCCCATGAGCCGAGCCTTCGCTGGGGGATCCTCAAACTGCCTGGTAACAGCGCTGTAAGACTCAGCAAAGTAGAAGCGATCAAGACCTCCAAGGAAGTAACTGTCGACATCTTCCACCAAGTTCTCACGATAAACAACCGTGCATTTACCGCAGACATATGAACAATCTAACACTGCCTCCTCATCACTCCAGAAAAGTGCATTGAGATCTGTGTGGTAGACCGACTGTGGACCCTTATGCGTGTTCTCAACTCTGAAAGAACAAAAAAGGAAGTGTTTACTGTCTTATCCAGTGATTGTCAATTAGATATGAATTGTGCACCTCTCTTATTTGTGGTCTCCTATGGAACTGATACTTGTTAATAGTTGTTGTGAATAAATTATTATAACTTATATTAAAATTTTAAAAAATGGGATTGCATTGTAAACTTAAAAGTTTTTTTTTTTTTTTTTTTATGTTATCAGGATCAATTAAATTTGTTCCGCCAACCTCCAGACCACCAAACAGAAAAGGCAGGCTTTTTCTCTGCTAAAAAGGAAAAACTTAACTCCTAATCACTGGGTACTGGATGAGATACCAAACCTCCTAAAACACTACAACAGGACATGAAACACAAAGTGGTTGGGTTGTGGATGGGAATTCCTAACCCCAAGACATTACTACAACAGTACATGGCACACAAAGTGGCTGGGTAATGTATGGGATTCCTAACATTACTACAATAATACACGACATATAAAACACACTGACTGCATAAGATAAGTGCTAGCCGACTACCTGTAAAACTTGGTCACTTTCAGCTTAATCTCTGAAGGATCTGGCTGTGGCTGCTTCCCTGAACATTTTTTGGCATATATCTGCACAATACGAGCCACACGGAACGGTTCCGGGCACTTGTCGTTGGAGCCTTTAACATACTCTGACTTTCTGTATGCCTCAGAATAAACATCCTCATCCACCTGATAGATGAAATTTTAATGTAAGCAAAGAACATATGTATGAAACAGACTATCTGAAACAGAACTATAGCATTCAGCAAAAGATAGAAAGGGGAAGAAAAGATGGGGGAGAGGGAGAGAAAAAGACAAGAGAAAATGAAGTGGAGGTAAGGTGAAATCTGAAGGAAACAAACTGTTGACAAAATTTACTCACCGACTACTACTTCTGCCTATTATATTTATATCACAGATACTAACTCTACATGATACTTTCACAACTGATATAAGTAATTTAACTCTACAAGATAATTTCACAACTGATATAAGTTATTTAACTCTACAAGATAATTTCACAACTGATATAAGTTATTTAACTCTACAAGATAATTTCACAACTGATATAAGTTATTTAATTCTACAGGATAATTTCACAACTGATATAAGTTATTTAATTCTACAGGATAATTTCACAACTGATATAAGTTATTTAACTCTACAGGATAATTTCACAACTGATATAAGTTATTTAATTCTACAGGATAATTTCACAACTGATATAAGTTATTTAACTCTACAAGATAATTTCACAACTGATATAAGTTATTTAATTCTACAGGATAATTTCACAACTGATATAGGTTATTTAGTTCTACAGGATAATTTCACAACTGATATAAGTTATTTAATTCTACAGGATAATTTCACAACTGATATAAGTTATTTAATTCTACAGGATAATTTCACAACTGATATAAGTTATTTAATTCTACAGGATAATTTCACAACTGATATAAGTTATTTAATTCTACAGGATAATTTCACAACTGATATAAGTTATTTAGTTCTACAAGATAATTTCACAACTGATATAAGTTATTTAATTCTACAGGATAATTTCATAGCTGATATAAGTTATTTAATTCTACAAGATAATTTCACAACTGATATAAGTTATTAAACTCTACAAGATAATTTCACAACTGATATAAGTTATTTAATTCTACAGGATAATTTCACAACTGATATAAGTTATTTAACTCTACAAGATAATTTCACAACTGATATAAGTTATTAAACTCTACAAGATAATTTCACAACTTATATAAGTTATTTAATTCTACAGGATAATTTCACAACTGATATAAGTTATTTAATTCTACAGGATAATTTCACAACTGATATAAGTTAACTCTACAAGATAATTTCACAACTGATATAAGTTATTTAATTCTACAGGATAATTTCACAACTGATATAAGTTATTTAATTCTACAGGATAATTTCACAACTGATATAAGTTATTTAATTCTACAGGATAATTTCACAACTGATATAAGTTATTTAATTCTACAGGATAATTTCACAGCTGATATAAGTTATTTAATTCTACAGGATAATTTCACAACTGATATAAGTTAACTCTACAAGATAATTTCACAACTGATATAAGTTATTAAACTCTACAAGATAGTTTCACAACTGATGTAAGTTATATAACTAATATAAAATTTCTCAGCTGATATAAGTTATATAACTCTACAAGATATTTTTACAACCGATATAAGTTACATAACTAAAAGATACTTTCACAACTGATATGTTATCTTTCTCAAACACGATTAAAACCATAAACTTTCTTAAACACAGTCAATATCTCAAATTTTCTCAGACTTAATCACTAACTCTAACTCTTGTAAACAAAATCAATATCTCTAATTTTCGCAAAGAATCAGTATTTCTTAACCTTTTTAAACACAATCAACATCTCAAAACTTTCTCAAACACAATCAACATCTCTCTAACTTTTTCAAATACAATCAACATCTCTCTAACTTTCACAAACACAATTAACATCTCTCTAACTTTCTCAAACACAACCAACATCCCTCTAACTTTCTCAAACACAATCAATATCTCTTTCTCAAACACAAACAATATCTCTCTTTCTCAAACACAATCATCATCTCTAACTTTCTCAAACACAATCATCATCTCTAACTTTCTCAAACACAATCATCATCTCTAACTTTCTCAAACACAATCAATATCTATCTTTCTCAAACACAATCATCATCTCTAACTTTCTCAAACACAATCATCATCTCTAACTTTCTCAAACACAATCATCATCTCTAACTTTCTCAAACACAATCATCATCTCTAACTTTCTCAAACACAATCAATATCTCTCTTTCTCAAACACAATCAATATCTCTCTTTCTCAAACACAATCATCATCTCTAAGATTCTCAAACACAATCATCATCTCTAACTTTCTCAAACACAATCATCATCTCTAACTTTCTCAAACACAATCAATATCTCTCTTTCTCAAACACAATCATCATCTCTAACTTTCTCAAACACAATCATCATCTCTAACTTTCTCAAACACAATCATCATCTCTAACTTTCTCAAACACAATCAATATCTCTCTTTCTCAAACACAATCAATATCTCTCTTTCTCAAACACAATCATCATCTCTAACTTTCTCAAACACAATCATCATCTCTAACTTTCTCAAACACAATCAACATCTCTCTAACTTTCTCAAACACAATCAACATCTCTCTAACTTTCTCAAAGGCTAGGCAGCAGACCATAAAGGAACAGTCTATGTAATGAGATAACCCAGTAAACACAATCCAGCTTGCCAAAGGTGTAGTGTCAAATATATAAAGATACACACATATACACCTACAGGAAACAATTATGCAACTGGACCAATAACAGAAAGTAAATAGCAAATTCACTGGCCTAATTGTGAACCCCTACAAAGGATTCTTTTTTAACTCACTATTGCTTCTAGGTCAACCCAGACTAAACTAGGTAGCTGGAAATGTATTGGGAAGTAAAAGCAGATGGCGGGACACTGACTTCACACCTCGCACACCAATAAGTTTATAAAAATAGATAACATACTGGCCTTTGATGTTTGTTGTGACTGATACATCAATGATAAAGAAACATCCACAATGCCAAAAGAGACAGTGTAAACGCCGTGAGGCTTAAAACTTTGTGGAAAATGATTCTTCATTGACTGCATATCCTGGCTGTACTAACTGGACCACCGAAACAAGAAAAACCATGCAGGAACCGCCGGATGTTTGCAACACACAACAATAATGGGGACTGTTAACCTAAAAACACCTACAGACATACTCAGGAGGTCAAAGCACTGAAGATCCTGTCCGATGTGTGATGAGGATGATCTTGAAATGAACATCAATTAATGACCACCGCATAAACTCACCTTGGACCCGGATTTGCGAACAGTCTGCACTTTCTCATGAACAATCTTAAACCCGTAAGCTGCTGGATCAATATAGCAGCAATCACCTATAGAGTACTCGTGGCCATTCTTTCTCACGCTGTTGTAGTACAGGTAACTAGATGAGCCACTGTCCACCTGTGATAATTACAGGTACTGGATGAGATACCAAACCTCTTAAAACACTACAACAGGACATGAAACACAAAGTGGTTGGGTTGTGGATGGGAATTCCTAACCCCAAGACATTACTACAACAGTACATGGCACACAAAGTGGCTGGGTAATGTATGGGATTCCTAACATTACTACAATAATACACGACATATTTTTTTTTTTTTTTTTTAACGTATCCAGAAACCATGAGTTGTAAACCCTTTGGCTCGGTACTATGGATATCGCAACCCTTCGGCCTTGATTCCATTATAGGTACCGTTAATCTGGGAGAAATGTGGCTTTTCTGCCTACCCCCGGGAGTGAACCCGGACCACAAGGAGTTCGTCACCCGGCCGCCGCGAAAGTCAGGTTTAACCAACTTCGCTAGAGAGCCGGGCATACACGACATATAAAACACACTGACTGCGTAAGATAAGTGCTAGCCGACTACCTGTAAGGTCATAAATCAAGGTGTTAACTTCTTGCACAACAACCACTTTACAGCATGACAACCACTTCACAGCACAACAAGCACTTTATAACACAATCACCTAGCACAGCAACCCACTTAACAGCAGAACATCCACCTAGCACAACAACCCCTTTACAGCATAACCACTTCACAGCACAACAACCAACTTACAGCTCAACAAACACTTTACAACACAACAACCACTTCACAGCACAACAACCAACTTACAGTTCAACAAACACTTTACAACACAACAACCACTTCACAGCACAACAACCAACTTACAGTTCAACAAACACTTTACAACACAACAACCACTTCACAGCACAACAACCAACTTACAGCTCAACAAACACTTTACAACACAACAACCACTTCACAGCACAACAACCAACTTACAGTTCAACAAACACTTTACAACACAACAACCACTTCACAGCACAACAACCAACTTACAGCTTAACAAACACTTTACAACACAACAACCACTTCACAGCACAACAACCAACTTACAGTTCAACAAACACTTTACAACACAACAACCACTTCACAGCACAACAACCAACTTACAGTTCAACAAACACTTTACAACACAACAACCACTTCACAGCACAACAACCAACTTACAGCTCAACAAACACTTTACAACACAACAACCACTTCACAGCACAACAACCAACTTACAGTTCAACAAACACTTTACAACACAACAACCACTTCACAGCACAACAACCAATTTACAGCTTAACAAACACTTTATTACACAGCAACCACTTTACAACACAACAACCAATTTACAGTTCAACAAACACTTTATAACACAGCAACCACTTTACAACACAACAACCAATTTACAGTTCAACAAACACTTTACAACACAACAACCACTTCACAGCACAACAACCAATTTACAGCTTAACAAACACTTTATTACACAGCAACCACTTTACAACACAACAACCAATTTACAGTTCAACAAACACTTTACAACACAACAACCACTTCACAGCACAACAACCAATTTACAGCTTAACAAACACTTTATAACACAGCAACCACTTTACAACACAACAACCAATTTACAGTTCAACAAACACTTTACACCACAACAACCACTTCACAGCACAACAACCAATTTACAGCTTAACAAACACTTTATTACACAGAAACCACTTTACAACACAACAACCAATTTACAGTTCAACAAACACTTTACAACACAACAACCACTTCACAGCACAACAACCAACTTACAGCTCAACAAACACTTTACAACACAACAACCACTTCACAGCACAACAACCAATTTACAGCTTAACAAACACTTTATTACACAGCAACCACTTTACAACACAACAACCAATTTACAGTTCAACAAACACTTTATAACACAGCAACCACTTTACAACACAACAACCAATTTACAGTTCAACAAACACTTTACAACACAACAACCACTTCACAGCACAACAACCAATTTACAGCTTAACAAACACTTTATAACACAGCAACCACTTTACAACACAACAACCAATTTACAGTTCAACAAACACTTTACAACACAACAACCACTTCACAGCACAACAACCAATTTACAGCTTAACAAACACTTTATTACACAGAAACCACTTTACAACACAACAACCAATTTACAGTTCAACAAACACTTTACAACACAACAACCACTTCACAGCACAACAACCAACTTACAGCTCAACAAACACTTTACAACACAACAACCACTTCACAGCACAACAACCAACTTACAGTTCAACAAACACTTTACAACACAACAACCACTTCACAGCACAACAACCAATTTACAGCTCAACAAACACTTTACAACACAACAACCACTTCACAGCACAACAACCAACTTACAGCTCAACAAACACTTTACAACACAACAACCACTTCACAGCACAACAACCAATTTACAGCTCAACAAACACTTTACAACACAACAACCACTTCACAGCACAACAACCAACTTACAGCTCAACAAACACTTTACAACACAACAACCACTTCACAGCACAACAACCAATCTACAGCTCAACAAACACTTTACAACACAGCACAACAACCATAAATATGTTACAAGATATATCATAAAAATCGGAAATTATGTACAATAGTTTGACCACACTCCCCCACTCATGAAATCAAAAGGCAAAATTCATTTAAGCACTTGATGAGAGAGTGAAAGGGGAAAGTCTCTTCTTTTTCTTAGAGTTCACTGGCTGTAAACTTTAGCTGAAAGTTCTGTTTGTTCGTCCACCTCTAGAGTTTGGTGTTGCTACAGAACTTGAGTTTTGTGTGCACGTTCGCAGACGGCTGGTTATTTGCCTCTCCGGCAGATGCACTTCGACTTTGAAGGAAACACCTATAATTTGTCGCCTTCAAAGAAATGCTTGTTGGGGAGGGGGACGGGGGTTGGGCCAATTATTTGTTCCTCCAAAAATGGGTCCCCGGAATCCACACCAGAAATAGGGGACAGTCAAGGGTTATGATAATAACTGAAGTAAAAAATGCTGTAATTTCCCACAGCCCAACTCCATTTTAAGAGGCGGCAGCAAACACTTTAGTCAGCAATAAAGCCACAGATAGGAAATATCCCCATCACTATCGCGTGCCGTGCCAATAAGCAGACGGACATGATTCATCATCCCAGGTGATCACCAAAATCACAAATCAGATCAGTGCTCCTGTCCCACCCCATCCCTGTGCCTTTCCTCTTTGTCTCACTTCTATGAATCTTGCCAGCTGTCATCAAGTTCTTAAATCTATTTCTTCTCATAACACATCCAAAACATATAGTTTTATAGTTATCTTCTTCTTTTCTTCCACCAGTCACCTGCAGATGTATATTTTGTCACTTCACTCCCTAAACCTGTAATTTTCAACTTGTAAAGGGTAGGGGCGGCGCCCACAAGGAAGTTTCAAAGACTGCGTCAAACATTTTAAAACAAAGTTCATTTGTACTTAAATAATCTTTTATACTAAACAAAAAAGAATTTGGTTTAATTATAAATAAAATATCTGTTAAGCTGCTTATAAAACAAAGTAGTCACTGTATTGTAGGAGCTAGATGCTCGCAAAAGGAAGGCCGTGGGTTCGGATCCTGGTGAAACCAGGCTTTTTTTTTTAAAATGACCTTGGCTTCCAAGTTGACCCAGCCTTTGGGTACCAGGTGCAATCCTGGGAAGCAAAGGTGGCAGGCGTGATGTTGACCATATCACCCACCAAGTGCCGATTGGTGTACAAAATAAAATATAGGTCTAGCCCTATATGCCCAATGCACCTGAAGGCGTGGAAAAAGGTTCTTTACTTTTTACATTACACTGCACCTGACAAGATTCTGCTAGGGTTGAACAAGCAAGATAAGGCTGTGACATACCTCAATCGCATCTCGTAGAGTTGGTCCCTCCTCCATGTTCTTTTTATTTAACCTCTCGCAGCAGACGCAAAAGGCCACCTTTTCACGGCCCAGTGCAGTATCCAGATCAGGGGGATCCTCAAAACGGCCAAATGCTGGGTCGTAAAATTTCTGATAAAAAAATGTCTTCCCATCATCCTCCTGGATAACGTTGTCTTCGTCTGGGTTGTCGATACCACCTTTCATGCTCCAGTCCTCAGGAATAACTTTATGTATGACCTAAAGAACCAGGTTAATTAATGGAAAGAGATGTCAATTGTGAAGATTATCCTACTAAAATTGGCCGGCTAAAAGATGTCTTAAGCTGGTATGAAAGTGAACATATTCTTAGATAGAAAATAAACAGCACACAATAATTTCCCCCTCAAAAGGGTAACATATCTGGTTTTAGCAAACTCCTAACTGGTCACTTTTGATGATACTTTTTGTAATGCGGCAGTGTTTTGATTCTTTTTTCCCCTCTAAAATGGGGCTTTAGAACCCACACATGGATTTGGGGTGGGTGGGGTTTTAAAGTTGAAAGAACTGACTTCATTGCACCAGGTTTTATGCCATAGGGTTCTCTATCTCTGTGCAGAAGAGCTTGCCACCCACTGAAGAATGCTGCACAAAAATCGGCCACTTTAGCTACAAAAACAATCCCAAGAGGTCTCATTAAAAACTGTCCCTGTGAGGTGAATAACTAATCCATGAAACAAACCCACAACCATCAGAGTGAAAGGTCAATGACTTGACCATTTGGTTATGTAGACCCCTATCAAACACAAAAAAGGAAGCTAAGGTTTTTTGTATTTTTTTTAATTCTCTTCTTCTTAACGTTCACCGACTGTAAACTCTGGGCAAAAATTCTGGTTGTCTGTCTAATTCTGGACACTGGCCGTGTTGCGGGACTAAAATTTTGCATGCACATCTGTGGTTACAGATCTGGCTTTACATGCAGACTGTTTGCTCCTCACCTCTCAAGGCAAAAGCACTTCAAAGGAAACTCCCCCAAATAAGTCACTTTGTACAACATGTTTGTTAAGAAGGCAGTGGGTCAATCCCCCTCCCCCCCCAGAATGGGTACCCGGAACTCACGTGTGGATTTTCATTTTTTTTAAAGGTCTATTTCCACGCTTGAGACGTAATGAGCATATAGAGCTAGTCATGTTTTCAGAGACAAACTCCCACAGACATAAATGAGACATTCATCAGACAAACTCCCACAGACATAAATGAGACATTCATCAACAGATGTATCGCCATCCACCTGTCATCTTCTGCATCCACTCTTAAGAGGGTGGTTAGCGAATGGTGCTGTGATATCTGCACCTGTTGGCCGAGCATATCCAATTTTTAGTTAATCCTTAATCCCACCTTCCCCGTCCATCTAGTCACTTTTAGCTGTGATACAGTCCTGTAAATGCTGATATGTGTCTGTGACCCATTCTTGAGACACGTAGATAATTCTATTGGTTCTATTACTAATATAGTAAAGTAAAGTAAAGTTCCCTTTTCACGCATTTCGGCGCATCGTTCATATGGGCAGAGCGTCCCATATTTTTACAGACCATCAGCACTCTGTGGGTAATGTGGTCAGCATTACGCCGGCTGTCTTTAATTTCCCAGGACAGCCCATCCTGGTACCCATTTAAGGCTGGGTCGACCTGCGACGTCCCATACCACGATAAAAATCCGCGCAGCCTGCAGTGGGTTTCGATCGCGGTATGCTGGCTTACGAGTCGGACTCGCAACGCCTTAGCCACGGACGCCGCTTATTACTAATATAGGCCAGGATACAAATGTACCTAAAATAGCTATTTGTGGGTTTCTTTCATCCTCAGTGAGCAGCAGCTGTGTCTTAGGCGTTGTGAGTCCTAACTCATTATTCCAACGTATAGCAATCAAAACCCATTGCTGACTACATGGATTTTTATCATGATATGGGGCGTCGCAGGTCGACCCAGCCTAAAATGGGTACTAGGATGGCTGTCCTGGGGAAGTAAAGACGGTCGGCGTAATGCTGACCACATTACCCACCCAGTGCCAATTGGTCTGTAAAAATATGGGACGCTCTTCCCATTTGCCCGATGCGCCTAAGGCGTGAAAAGGGATCTTTACCTTTACTTTACTTTTACATCCTCAGTGACTTTTCTATTTAAAGCAGAGTTGATGAAAAATTTTCCTGTAAGTCTCAGTGTTGGAGGTCAAGGCCTGTTAAATTGTCAGGTCTCGTTTTTTTAAGGCCCTGGGTAATATATTTATATATCTTTGTATATTTAGAAGGTCCAAGTGACAAGAAGGGGAAAAGTCTGCATTCAGACAATACGTCAAGATCTTGATACCCAGCCCTTACTAACCCGAGTGGATCCATCAGTTATGATGGCTTAAATATGTATGCTGAATGGGAGAAAAATCAGCCACCATGGCAGGCATGGGAGGCTAAGAACCAGGGAACCAGACCTCCGGGACGACCCAGGGTGCGCTGGAAAGACAACATCCGACAGTCTCTAACTGACAGAGGACTGGAATGGAACAAAGCCAGAAAGAAAACTGCTGATAGAGACGTCTGGCGATCTCTCTGGCAAACCTCTACACCCCAAGGTAGAAGAGGAGCTACTAAGTAAGTGATTTTTTTTAGGAAATCCAATGGCTTTAGGTTTGTTTTTTCCAGGAAATCCAATGGCTTTATGGCTTCTTTTTTTTTTTTTTTAAATATTCGCAGGGCGAATGGTTAAGACATGTGATTAGTGTTCTTTGCTTTCCTTTTGGACCCTAGTTACATGGGCATAGGTGCTTTTAGAGACAATATTTCAACTTTTAATTATTCCTGCAAGATCTGGACAATAGACACATATGCTCCAAATATTTTAAAGCCTATTTTCAGCACACATGAAACAATTTCAAGCCACAACTGCTTTACCTGTACTTTACTATGAATAGCCACCAGCTCGTTGTCGTCACACTGGTCTCCAATAAACAGCTCTAATGGGTCAGAAGCCTCGCCCAGAACGGTCTCACAGCCCCTGTAGAACCAGTGTACGTGGGCCTGCTTGTTGCCGCCTTCCTCAAACAAGTACTGAATCTGGGCAATGTAGAATGGCTGGGTCGGGTCAGCTGGTGAGATGGAGACAAAGTCAGCCTGGCTAATCTGTATCATTGAAAGAAGAAAAAGGTTTGCTTTATAATGATCATCTTTTTTCTCATTTTTCAATCGTCTTCTTCTTCTTTGCATCCACCAGATGTAAACTCCGGCAGAAAGTTCTGGGTGTTCACCCACCTCCAGGTTTTAGTAATGTTCCAGAATCTGAGTGTGTTGGTGCACATCCATTTTACAAATCTGGCTTACCTGTATGCAGATTCTTAGTTCCTTGCCTTACAGGCAGATGTACTCTGACATTAAAGGAAGCCCTGAATTAGTCAACTCTTACAACAAGCTGGTTATAGAGGCCATGGGTTTATTCTTGTTTTCCAACAACGGGGCCCCGGAGTCCACGCAGAGAACTCGATACTGTTCCAGTAGTGATCAAAAATTAAGAAAATGTGAGCATTCTTCAAAAAAAAAATATCTCAGAGGCCTTAAGAAATTGTGTGGCTTGTTTACTAACTATTCATGATTTACAGTCATATGTTGAAAAAAAAAAACAGCTTCAGTTGGTTTAACCAACTCTTTGCTTAGTTAGTCAGTCGAGGTTTCAACATCACCGCAATCTGGTTTCTCCATACTCACTCCGTTCCTGTGCCAGAGCGGATCAAATAAAATGTCCTGTCGCTTATGAAAACAACTAGTTCCGGAATAATCCAGAAATATTTCATTTGCTTGAGGCGTCATTCCATAGAAAAAACACAGCTGCAACCAAGCACCAAACTCAGTAGCTTAGGTAGTGAAACAGTAGACTACCATCCGTATGTGGAAACTGCATTAGCAAAGCCCTCTCGGAAGCAAAAATAACCTTGAAGCTTAACATTCTGCCAAGTCTTTCCTCCATTTTGGCCGAAAGTCTTTGTTATCAGTGTCAATCATTCTCTTAACCAAAGAAAATTATGAATTACCTCAAAGTTGTTAACTCTGGCCCTGGCATAATACTTTCGTTTGCTGTCCTCCTTCACTGGTGAATCAAGCCAAACTACTTCGGTCTTGGCATTTCTGGCAGCTTTATGTTTGGCCACAGCCACCAGATTCTTGCTCTCCTGGTCTTCTTTGTTGATCTCCGCTTCTTCTTCAACATCGTCTTCTTCTGCTGTCTTAATAGCCATGTTAGGGCACCTGAAAAAGAAATACCACTGAATAGTTTTTCTGAACGGTGCCATTAGATATATAGTTATGTAACGTCTTAGTAGTCACCAGCTGTAAACTGGCAGAAATCTGTGGTTGTTCGCCCACTTCTGCACTTTAGTCCGAGTCCAGAACTTGAGTTCTGAGTGCACACCTGTTTTACAGTTCTGGCTTATTTGTATGCAGACTGCTGGTTTCTTGCCTCTCAGGCAGATGCAACCCGACTTTGAAGGACCAATGCCTAATTAGTCGCCTTTAACCACATGCTAGTCAGTCTGAATAGTGCTCTTGACAGAGCTCATCAACGAACATTACATCTCCCCCTGACACTTCGATGAGGTACAAGGTGGAAGAGAAGAAGAAGAACAACAACTACATGCTTATTAGGATGCAGGGGTTTTATGCACACCAAATACATGTGATGGAAACAACTGCCCTGAAATCGCATGCTCTAACTGCGGGAAAACTCTTCTCAACACAGGCAGGTCTTGCTTGTCATACGACGGCTGACGAGAGACAAACTATCACGTTCCATGGGAAATTTAAGCCACTAAATCCAACCAATCGCTGGTCTAAAAGAGGTCTCCATATCAAACTCCAATAGATGAAGTCCCTTTCAGATTTAAAACTACTTAAATACGAACAGCACTACTGCCCTACAGCAAGAGGCAGACCGAGAGTACGATGAATAGACAATATATCAGAGATCCTGAGGCAACACGGACTAACAACAACACGTGCAACACACCTGGCCCAGGATAGAAAACTGCGACTCCCCACTACGCTGTGAGGCAATTGTGGACAAGACAAGACAAGACAAGACAAATGCCGGTGAAATGGACATTTGAGTCTTCCAGGAAATTCACTACCAATCAACAAGAATAACACTACTCGTATGTTAAAAAGATTACCATTACTTGTATGTTAAGAGGTGAACCTTATTTATATGTTAACAGAGGTGAACCTTACTTATATGTTAAGAGGTGAACCTTATTTATATGTTAACAGAGGTGAACCTTACTTATATGTTAAGAGGTGAACCTTATTTATATGTTAACAAAGGTGAACCTTACTTATATGTTAAGAGGTGAACCTTATTTATATGTTAACAGAGGTGAACCTTACTTATATGTTAACAGAGGTGAACATTACTTATATGTTAACAGAGGTGAACATTACGTATATGTTAACAGAGGTGAACCTTATTTATATGTTAACAGAGGTGAACATTACTTATATGTTAACAGAGGTGAACATTACTTATATGTTAAGAGGTGAACATTACTTATATGTTAAGAGGTGAACATTACTTATATGTTAAGAGGTGAACATTACTTACATGTTAACAGAGGTGAACATTACTTACACGTTAACAGAGGTGAACATTACTTATATGTTAACAAGATGAACATTGTATTACCTTCTTTCCTTACATGCCTGTTTGGCTCGCCCAGTGCCACCAAATTTGGTCATGTCACGGCAGGCAGCACACGTGCCACAGTCAGGCTGCTGGCAAACCTGATGGATCAACATAACAGCGATTATAATATGACACGGCTACTGGCACACATCCTTTAAAAAGAGATACAGTGGGGACTCAGTTCACGTACTTAATTCGTTCCTGATCCCTGGACATATACCAAAGAGTATGTAAACTAAACAAATGTCCCCATAAAAAAATTAATGGAGAATAATTATTTGTTCCCATGAAAAAAAATCCTAGTTTTTGGCATATTATATATTAAAGGGGTTAAATAAAATAAATTTTATAACGCCTAATACTAAATTTCATAAATACAAAAGCAATTGGGTAAAATAAATTAAAATGTAACCTCACTTTATTTTCCTGAGAAGGGTCTAGTGCCTACCAGGATGATAGTGAGAAGAGAGGAGGAGAGGGGAATGTTATTGTTTGGAGGAAGAGCTCCCTTCCAATAAAACTTAAGCAAACTGAAATTCTGGTGTATTTTTTCCCCCTTTTTTTATATTATTGCCACTACTTGGTCCTGACTGAGACTCATCAGGTCTGACTTTTACTAGAAATCTGCCCAAAGAACTTTGCTTCTGCCCTCTCCTCAGGATGTTTTGAAAATGTGACACTGTCTGGTCATTCCAGACAATGCTATTACATCTCGTTTATGCTTTGTGGAGGGTGATACTTCTATGTAAAGTCACTGACGGCTATCCATGGCCATCTTGAGAGATGTGCTGAGGAAAGTGACCAGAGATACTGCCGACATGGAACACTAAGAGGAAAGGAAAAAATATAATAAACCGGCTATCGGTGCCAACAAAACTGTAACTCTTCGCTAGCTCTGATTATGGGACGAAGCGCTAATGGGAATGTACTAAGTGACATCGGTCCTTAACATAACACAATTCACCTCACAGGTACTGCAACACTATTGCTTGTTTTTTTGCCAGTTCTTCATCAATTTGACCTTGGAAAATGTAAATGTCCTAAGTGCTGTCAGTTCTAAACAAAACTCAACTCAACTCACCTCACAGATACCACAACGCTTTCGCTTGTTCTTTGCCAATTCTTCATCAATTTGACCTTGGAAAATGGAGTCAAAGATTGTTCTAACAAGTGGAGTAACTGTGGCTTTGGTGTCCTTTGGTTTTTCTTTCTTGGCTTTCATCCGTGCTACATCTTTTCTCAGCTGTCTCCTAAAAAATAAACAGTTACATTTAGACAGATATGCAATCACTGATACAAATTTAACATGAAAATGTTCAATTCCCTAGGCAATCTTACTCTTCTTAGCATTCAGCAGCTATAAGCTCTGGCAGAACATTATGGTTGTTCATCCATTTCTGGACTTTGAGCTGGAGTTTTGCATGCACATCCGTTTTACAGATCTGGCTTATGAGTATGCAGACTGCTAGTTCTTTGCAAGAACAATCAAGAGTGCAGCTCTGTAGCTCTGAGGTTGGGCGAACACATTTCATATCAATGCTTGCTGAAGGTTTGATATCCATGATAGGTGGTGTGGGAAAAAAAGATTATTCTCAAGGTTTTGTCTGTGGTATGAGAGTTGCATCGCGGAAGATACTCAAGCTTCAAATATATGCTGCAAATAACCTCCATTGTACTAACAGCATCATTGTTAAAAGCAAAAAGGAAAAGATGTCTGAAGTGACACAGCAGGCTAAAGGAACATAATATAGTAACTGGAGGAATTTGCAAAGGTGTTGTGACTGAATGCTTGACTGCAAATCCAAAAGTCACTGGTTCAAATCCGGCTGGAGTAGGACTTTCAGAAATGACCTTGGCTCCCAATTTGACCCAGCCTTAAATGAATACCAAAGTCCTGGGAAGTCAAGGCGGCCAGCGTGCTGATTGGTCTATAAAATATAGGTCTGGTTCTTTTTGCCAGATACATCTGTGTGTGCACAAGGTGTCTTACTTATACTTACAGCAACTGGAACCAGTGCTAAGTGCAAACATGTTAAATGTGCGTGCATCCGGTTAAACAGTAAATACAAAAGTGAGCATCCATTCACTTCGACATTTCTGGATGTAATGATGTCACCTTTATCAATCGATATCAATGACTATTCTTCAATCAAATCATTCCAAGCGTTCTTTTTCTTTTAGCGTAATCTGCATCTCCTTCCATGTCTGCTCCATACTGTGTATATAATTCTCTTCTCTTTGTATTTTTAGGTCTCCTATCTCTTTTGTACTTTCTTCTTTACGTTCACCAGCTGTAAATTCCTGTGAAAAGTTCTAGTTCTTCGTCCACTTCTGGACTTTAATCTTGTTCCAGAACTTGAGTGTTCCCTGCACATCCAGTTTATAGATCTGGGTTAATGTATTTTCCGTGCACAAGCCACCCCTTTTTTTTTAATTGCTTAAAATAATTAAATATTTTAAACACATTTCATGTACAAGATAATACATAATTTTTAAACTTAAAAAACTTGGGACTTCGGGGGGGGGGAGGGTGTTAGGTTTTATGTACAGAAAAATTCGGTATCTCTAAGCAGACTGTTAGTTCTCCACCTCTCAGGCAAATGCACTCTGACCCTGAAGGAAATAACCCTAATTTGTCAGTTATTGGAAGCTGTGAGTATATTCTTGTTCTCATCCTCCCTCCACTTTCCCCCCAAAATTGTAGTTTTACTATTATCAGATTCTAACAATGTGAGAGCTATCCAAACATTCACTATCTGTTACTATTTTTCCTTCCCTGCTAATGTCACAATTTGTGATCCGTTATCACAAATCTCAAACAATTACCAAATTGTGAAAAGAAAAAGGTCACTTACCTTTTACCCAAAGTAACTCCGGCCAATTTAATCAGCGCCCTCATACACGGAGTGGTGATGAGGAGAAAGTCATCTTCATCTGCTGCATCATCAAAACTCTGAACTTGATCCACAACAAACTGAGCATAACGGAGCAATGTGTCTTCTGATACACTTGTCAGTCCGGCCGGGGGAACAGTGATCTGTGAGAGCACAAATATCGCCAATAACAATAAATCCGAACACCTAGAACACTCTTATTATTATTCTTCATTGATATATCTGATTGTACAACTTCCCCCAAATGAGGAAAAGTATAATTAAACCTGACTGTGATAAGTAAATTCATGACTGTGATGACTAAACCTTTGACAAATAAACTCAGGATAAAATGATAATTAAACCTTTGACAAATGTAACAGTGATAACTAAACCTGTGACTAGGATATCTAAACCACTGACTGTGATAACTAAACATATGACTATAATAAACCTATAATTATGATAATTAAACATGACTGTCATAACTAAACCTATAACTATGATAATTAAACATGACTGATAACTTAACCTATGACTATGACAACTAAACCTATGGCAATGATAACTTAATTAATGCGGACAGAATCCCTTCAACAAACCTGGAGTTTATTCAGCAAATCTTCATAGGCAGCGTCCTGGTTATTCAACAGAAACTCAATAACAATTTTGGACATGTGAACTTTGACCTTCATCTGCTCGATGAAAGGGCTGTAAGCCTCACTAGGCTGCATCAGAATGTACTCAGCGTAACCTGGAATTAGGGGGAGACAAAAACACTTTAGTCGACCTTGAGGCTGGGTCAATAAAACCTCTGTAACATTAATGGATGTGATAGTGTTGAATTTCTTTTGTGATATTTCATAATGTACTACAAGCAACAACGGATCATCACTTTGGACATTTTTGCAAATTAAATTTTAAAAACAGCTGTTTTATGCTTCAGTGGCACAAACTATTGGACATAGAATTTGCAAAGAAAACCACACCAGCCCAAAAAAATTCTGGGGTTTGTTCTGCAACATCCTGTTAATTAAGGATAAACAACTAACTTTCTTTTCTCCTTCTTTCATTCTCTAAAAAAGATTATCTATATCTGCAATGTTTTTTCTAGCACAAACTTCACTGTTTTCTGTTGTTTATTCGTTAACTTTGGCATCCAATTGTGTTTCTCTTGGCCGGAAGGTTTGCCTTGATATACTGTATTTGGGACAGTCTTGGAGGACATGATCTGTTGTCTCAAGTGCCAATCCACAAGCTGACATGTCTACATGAGTACATGTGTCTGCGAAGTAATAGTGCCATGTTCTGAGGCATATAATGACTTGCTCTGGTCTGTCCATAATATGGTCAAAGAAAACCAGCTGTAATGTTAGAATATAAAATATCAGGGCCCAATATGACAAACTGTAATATGTTATTTAAGAGTAAAATGGACGGAATGAATGTCAACATATTAAGTATTAGTGAAAATTAATGTCTAATGCAAGAGACATCATACAGAAACACCATCATGTCACAATTGTTGCACAAACAGTGGTGGGCTACTGACCTGTTGAAAACCCAATCAAGGCATTTTCTCCCCCATCAAAGCCAGAGACAAACCACTCATTGATGGGGCCCATGTTGCGACAAGGCACTCCACCTGAAAGGAAGTTGAAAACAAAGTTAAAACTGCTTATCTTCTTCTGCTTCTTCAGCATTCCGAGCCCTTGAGGTTCACTGCTGCAGATATCACCCACTTCCATTCATCTCTCTGGTTGGCCTTCTCTTTCCAGTTGGTAACACCAAGTGTTTGTAGTTCTGTCTGGACATTATCTCTCCATAGTTTTCTTGGTCTGCCTCGTGGTTTAGGACCATTCAACTCCCTTGTGTATACAGATTTTACCTCTCTGATTTGACATTCTCTCAGTATGCCCAAGCTATTTCAGTCTATTATATCTCAAGATGCCAGAGATCAATGGCGATTTAAACAGATGATGAATTTTATTTATGAAAACTACTCATAAAAATCAATAGGTTTTTTTTAACAAACATGAGAAAGTTATCCAAGTCATATTGATCACACACATAAGTGACATCTCTGCACTGATGATTCATCATCATCATCCTGTAACAATGGGAGTTGCTGGGTCACCAGTTGCTGCTGTCAGATCAGTTCCCTCCACCTTTGACTGATGGTGGGCTGTAATATTTCAACATATTATGTCCTGTGTCATCAAAAAATGGACATCCTTCATCTCTTGAAAATAGAAAATGAACATGAAGAAGATAACAGTGTTATCATAAATGAAAATGCTGAGCATGTGCTCCAACACTGTCAACTGTATGCTGACAACAGACGCAATCTGGTCTGTTCCAACCATAATGAAGACAAAACTGGATGGTACATGAGAGGATATGGACTGCACGATAGCTTTCATAAAGGCTACCAGCCTCCTGATATAAGTTTCCTCACAGAAGGATCGAAGAAGAAAAATTAGTTTAAACATTGTAAAGAATGTCCATCACTAAATAGTCAAAAGACACACAATTTACAACTATGTGAACACAAAATCAAAGACTTTCTCCGATTACCTTCAGGGCTTGGATCCTCTTCAAAAATCGGCTTGATTACCCCACTAAAGAACAAGTACTTGTTGCGTTCAATGAGGCCGGTGTCGAAAGCACATAAATGTGTCTTCTTGTCATAAACACTGCAAATATACATCAATAATTATTCAGATTACAATGCTGACATCTCCATTTAGATTTAAGTATTTCACCTTTACATATCCTAGGCCACCATGTGATTCATTCCTCACTGTCTTGCCTTCCCAGAAAATTCAGAAAAATTATGTGGCATCTATTTTATAACTATGAGTGCAGAGAGACAGATTATAAACAGCATATTCATTCCAACATTAAGCTACCAGTGCCAAACATGGACACTATCTAAAGCCCATATACACAAAATCACCACTTGCAAGATGAGATGCCTGAGAAAAGCTGATAACCTAACCATCTGAGATTGAGTGAATAATGATACTATCAGACAAATTGTGGGAACGCCACTTTGTACTGGATTCATCGAGAAACTGCATATCAAGTGGTTTGGCCATCTCGTTAGAATGCAGCAAGATCAAATACCATCATTAGCACTACACCTCAGAAGATCAGCTACAAGAGCAAGAGGACGGTCGCGAATATGGATCGACAACATTAAAGACACTCTACACCTTCACAGCATGATAATAATAGCCAGTGTGCACTGGATCGCACATTATTCCTCCCCATGGCACTTAAAGGCAGAAGTGGTTTGTGATGATGATGGTGATCTATGTTATGAAATCCTGGTGGCACAGTGACTTGTGCACTTTCCTGTGAGAACGACGTGTGTTGGGGGTAAAAGCACCAGTAGAGCGGGGATTATTTTTTTTTTTTTACTAGTGAGATGTGGTCAAAACCATAATAAAAATGGGTGTCTTCTTCTTTGCATTCACCACCTGTGGTAAACCCTAGTGGAAAGTTCTGGTTGTTCACCCACTTCTTGAATTTCACCTTGTTCCGGCACCTAAGTTTTGTATGCAAATCTGTTTTATGGTTCTGGCTTATTTATATGCAGACTGTTGGTTCCTGGCCTCTCAGGAAGATGCGATCCAACTTCGAAGTAAACACTCCTAATTAGTGAGTCAATTATATCCCCCTCCCCTCCCCAAAATGGAACCCTGGAACCCCGACAGGGAAAAATAGGTAAGAGAAACACTTCAGAATTTTCTGGGAATTGTGTGATAGGAAAAAGCGATGAGCAAGGTAATTAGGCACTCCATTTGATGAGTGGCCTAGATTCAGTTTAAGCCTAGCACTTCACACCCAAGTGACAGCGCAGGCTGTGGGAAAATATTCACCTTTATCTTCTGCTACTTTGCATGCACCTCCTGCACGAAGCCCTAGGTACAGCTGAGGGTCACAGACTGAAAAGAGGAAGTTCTTTGATAGAGCAGGCTGAAGACACAATTAGACATGTGTGCAGCCTTGTTCACTTTGGGTAGGGGAGAGGACAGGGTTAAAGTGTCCGAGCAAGAATTAGATTTGTGAGGGATTCTAATCACTTTAGGTCATGAGTGCAGGGACTTGCCAGCTGGTGCTGCAGAATCAGTAGCTCAACAAATGATTCATGACAATTCCCGCCCAAGTGATGTGATTATTTTTATAGATGGCTCCGTGTTGAGAGGCAGACGAAGTGCATGGGGGTTCATAGCAAAAGCGAATGAACGTCGCTTAATGCAACAAAGCCTGGTATATGAAATCACAACGTCTAGTCTGAGAATGATGGTGGAGGCAGTCACTGCTGCCTTCCTCTGTCTTGAGAAACAGCTGTACACATGTCATAATTGTAACTGACTCACAGAGTATGCTGAGAAGGGTGGAGACAGGCATGCTCCATGCAGAGTGGCAACCATCGCTTCAAAGGTCAAGGGTAGTTAGCGTCCTTTGGATATTTTCTTCATGATACGGCAGTGTGATGGGAAATGAGCATGCAGACAGACTGGCCTGTTCTGCACCACTTGGTGGTGAACTGATGTATGACATGCAAGATGTTGTCAGGGCCCTTTGGGAGTGAATGAACAGTGCAGAGGCACAGACAGATTTGTATGGTCTGAGCAGAATGGCGCTGCAAGGAGTTACCAGGGGATCTGGCCGACGCTGAGTACCCAAGGAAACGGCAAGACAGATTTGCAATCAGAGATGGACGGTAGTAAGGGAATGAAACAAATGCAAAAAAACATGGGATACCAAAGGCAGGAAATCAGCAGACTGGCAGTAATGGAGGTCATTTGTGTATGCCTCATGTGTGAACTGTGTCAGAGATTGTCTCTGCTTCTCTTCTCTACACAAGAGAAAAAATAAAATATCAGATGAACTCAGCTGAAAACAAATATTAGAGGTAACCAACCTGAAATTTGTGATTTTATGCTGAGGTCGATCTTCAGTTATATTTTCGAAATCTTCGTTGCCAGTAAACAATGACAGCTTGGAGTCTGTCAGAGCTATGAATTCCTCAACCTGAAAACAGTATCATGAAAATTAATAACAAGCGAAAGTCAATGAAACCAATGCTTCCTCCATTATAAATTTCAACAATGAAGATATAAACAGACAGCACAATGTATTCCCCATCATCATCCTTCGTGTGCCGTTAAGACATCACATAGGGCTCGCATTCAATTCCTCCATTTAACTCTATTGCATGCAACTCTCTCGATTTCTGACATAGGGTTCAACCCAGCATTTTTAGCTTCTCATAATAAGTTCTTCTTAATGTTTTCCTTGTACACAATTTATTGCCAGGAATATGTTTCTTGTCGTCGGGTGCACTCTGCAGGGAAAATTGAATATCCTGGTAAAACAGTTACTTTTAGAGTGGTTGACAGAAAACAAACACACTAAAAAGATATTCAAACAGAATCCTTCTGCTTTATTTAGCTTTTAATCAGTTGTTTTCTAGTATTAATAATATTTGTATATTTTCAAATAGTACAATTTCAGCATATCAAAGTATGTGTACGCATGTTTTGTAACAGACAGCGTATCAATGTATGCCTATGCATGTTTTGTAACAGACAGTGTATCAAAGAATGCGTACGTATGTTTTGTAACAGACTGTATCAAAGTATGAATACGCATGTTTTGTAACAGACAGCATATCAAAGTATGCGTCCGTATAATTTGCAACAGACAGCATATCAAAGTATGTGTACGTATGTTTTGTAACAGACAGCATATCACAAAGTGTGCGTACGCATGTTTTGTAACAGACAGCATATCAAAGTATGCTTACGTATATTTTGTAACAGACAGCGCATCAAAGTATGCATACGCATGTTTTGTAACAGACAGAATATCACAAAGTATGCTCACGCTTGTTTTGTAACAGACAACATATTAAAGTATGCTTACACGTGTTTTGTAACAGACAGCGTATAAAAGTATATGTGCGTATGTTTTGTAACAGACAGCGTATCACAAAGTGGGCGTACGCATGTTTTGTAACAGACAGCATATCAAAGTATGCGTACGTATGTTTTGTAACAGACAGCGTATCAAAGTATGCATACTCATGTTTTGTAACAGACAGCATATCAAAGTATGCGTACGTATAATTTGTAACACACAGCATATCAAAGTATGTGTTCGCATGTTTTGAAACAGACAGCAATTGGTTAGAGAAGTAAAGGCAACTACTAACATCTGGCAAAGAAAAACCTACAGCGTTGTCAGAATCTCCTGGAAACAACTTGAGGTCAGGATCGTCCAAATACCTCAGACATTCACCGCACCTTTCAGGGAGAGCTTTAGCAGGACTTGATGTTAGTACCGGAGTACTTCTGTGAAATGACAAGCGTACGAAAAGATTTAACTGAAATTAAGACAACCAAAATCATGTGAATTTAGATAAAATGTGTGACTATAATGCAACAGTTCTAAAAACTTCAACAGCTGTTGTTCTCAACTGAAACCAAGCTTTTTTTAACACTCGCAATTCGGGAAAATATGAATTTTTTTTTTCTCTCTGCTTGGCTGAGAGGCTAAGGCGACTTCCTGTAGCTTGTTCAATCCACCCTCCCCCCTCTCTTTCTATCTCCCTAGCGACGACAGGCTGTAATTTACGATAGGAAGTTCTGATTGTTCGTTTACTTCGGAACTTTACTCTTCTTCCACAACCTTTGAGTTTTGCATACACCTCTGTTTTACAGATTAGACTAAACACATAAAAATGCAGAGTACAGAGGTCAGCTTACCTTTCTTTCTGTTTCATCTTGTCATCATCCTCAAGTCTGACTCTCTTGCAGCTACTCTCATCATCATCATCACCTTCTTCAGCAGCTTTGTCACACAAACTTGCCTCAAGCTTAGCTGTGTTCTCTTTGTTCTCTTTACTCTTCTGTGCCTCGACCTTCGACCTAATTAAGTTGAACCAAACAAAAATGTCTTGGTAAAAATATGCCAACATCACTGTGGCTTAAGCAACTATGCATATAATTACACTGTCGAGTTTCACAGAGTGGATGATGAGCATATAGATTACATGATTAAGCTTATTAAATAGCTGAGCAAGAAATAATACAATCAACACCAACTTTATTAATTCAGATGAAAGAATATTGCAGAGTAATGATCAGTAGTATAAATTTCAGATAAGCAACAGAAGAAAGATTTAAAGGGTAAAATTAAAAACAGCTGATATATTCTTCGTCGTCTTCTACCTTTTGACATCAGCCATGCTAAACATTTAGTTTTATCACTCAGAAACAGGTTGTGTGTCTAAAGTCGCCACCCCCCACCCCTACACCGATTCTCTTGTGTGTTGTGTACGTAAGTGTGTACGCTGTCAGGTCAGGATGTGCCTATTTATTTAATGCATTAATATGACACTTGCCATGTCTCTACAGGGCCAATTTTCTCATAATAATAATGTGTATCTTTTCTTTGTCAGTATCTGTGGCTTAAGCATTGCGCTTCGTAATGCCGGGTTCAATCCCTGCTGCGGACGATTTGTTTTGCGCTGGTTTCGACAGAGGTACAGAGAGCTCACCATTCAGAAAGCAATGTCAAACTATTGGACGTAAAATTGTTTAGAAAAATCACAACAGCCAATAAATGCTGGGGTTGGTTCTGCAACGTCCTGTCAAGGATATGCAACTAACTAATCTTTTCTTTATTCTTCTCTCTTACCCTTAGGTGTTGAAGAAAGGCTGAGCATACCTATCATACAATCTGACATAGAGATCACTGTGGTGATTTGTGAGGAAGAGCAATAATTTTAATCAAGACAATGAAACCAACTTACTTTCCCGAAAACAAGGACGCAATTGTGGGCTGCTTGTCATCAGGAGTCTTTAAGTTGAGACGGCCTGAAGTCCGAGTGGAAGCTGGAAAACATTTGCTAAATATATGATCAAGTCATACAGGTAATCTTAGAAGCTGTTAAACCTTTCTTTATTATGTGATCAAGTCATACAGGTAATCACAGAAGCTGTTAAACCTTTCTTTATTATGTGATCAAGTCATACAGGTAATCCTAAAAGCTGTTAAACCTTTCTTGATTATGTGATCAAGTCATACAGGTAATCACAAAAGCTGTTAAATCTTTCTTTATTATGTCATCAAGTCATACAGGTAATCATAAAAGCTGTTAAACCTTTCTTTATTATGTGATCAAGTCATGCAGGTATTCACAAAAGCTGTTAAACCTTTCTTTATTATGTGATCAAGTCACACAGGTAATCACAAAAGCTGTTAAACCTTTCTTTATTATGTGATCAAGTCATACAGTTAATCATGGAAGCTGCTAAATCTTTCTTTATTATGTGATAAAGTCATACAGGTAATCATGGAAGCTGCTAAACCTTTCTTTTTTATGTGATAAAGTCATACAGGTAGGGGAACATCTTTCAAATTAATACGTCTGCCTGAGAGGCAAGGAACAAGAGTCTGCACATGAATAATCTAGCTTGTGAAACAGGTGTGCAAGCAGCACTCAGGTGCTGGAAGAAGACTAAACTCTGGAGGTGGACAAACACCCAGAACTTCCCACTGAAGCTTACAGCTGATGAATGTTAAGAAGAAGAAGAAAAGAGCTGCAAGGACACCTGAAAATAAATGTTTACTAAACAATCAAATGGAAAAAAGTTGTGTTTTTTTAAACAGGAACATAGTGTTGGCAGGTGAGTCTTCACCACTTCCTCTTTTACCCCCTTCGGGTGTTGAGGGAGATATTAGGTTCTGCTTCTTGTCTTTCGACCACAGACACAATGTGCTGTTGTAGAGCCTCTCTGATGTTATCTTTCCATACTGTTCGTGGTCAACCTCATGATCTACATCCTTTTCCTCTTTTTTCTATGCCTTGTATGGTATGGAATCACAAGATTAAGTTGGAAAATATGATCCTGGTCTTGTCACTGCAGTAGGCCAGTACTGTGACAAACTATTAGATCTTGCACATGATGAAAACAAAAGTGCACACAAAAGAGACAGTATCTCTCTTCCCAAAAGTATACACACATCAAAGTTTGGCGTCTGTGGTTTAGATGTTGCAAATGCGCTCCGCAATGCTGGGGTACCTGGTTCAATTCCAGCTGCAGCCAATTTGGCAGCAGAACGCCTTGAGTTGGGTTCACTGACATTGAGAGCCAACCGTCCAGAAAGCAATGGTGAACTACTGGACACACATGTGCCTACGAAACCACAATAGACCAAAAATGCTGGGGTTGGTTCTGCAATGTCCTGTAAAGGATATTCAGCTAACTTTTCATACATATAAAAACAGAGATTCAACACTCCCTTTCTCCCAATTTCTCTTTCTCTAATTTCCAATTCCTCTCTCTCCACTGAATCTTCCCCTTTCCTCTCTAAGAAATCATTCTCTCAGACATGCACCTGAGATTACTCAAGCCATTATTAGAACATAAAACACCTATATTCACACAAGATCAACCTCCTCACCTCTTGTTGGGGTTCCTTTAGACTTTCTGCCACCTTTCAATTTTTTCACAGGTGGAGACATATCCTCATCATCACTGTTAACACCATCCTTATCGTTCTTTACCTCAATCACTTCTATTTCTGCAGCACTCTGTGCTATCACATCCCCATTTTCCACCTCCTTGGTATCCTGATGACAGAGATCAATTCTTGCTATAATGTTGACATTAATAAAACAGTAAAAATAAGTCTTCCTGCGCAGAATAGAGGGAAGTAACCTATATTTTTTAAACACTAAATGGAACTCAGTGGGTGACATGGTCAATACCACCACAGCCACCTTTACTTCCCAGGATTTCACCAGGTACCCTTTTTAGGCCAGGTCAAACTGGGAAGCAAGATTAATTTTGAAAAACTAAAAGTCTGCCTCAGTTCCAGTCGGATATACTACCAAACATTTCAACTGAAGTTTTTATCAGTAAATGACACAAAGCGCAAGCCTCCAAATAAGTAAGTCACATGGAGAGAGAATGGAAATGTGAAAAGCAGAAAAAGGAAGGGCTAACCTTAAGTGAAACAAAAAAAAAAATGTAATTATAATAAAAGAAAACATAGAAGGATAGGAAAAACATTTATAACATTTGTTTAAATAATAAAGAAAAACAAAATAAAATAATATTTTTAAAAAAAAAGGGAAAAGACAACAGAACTAATTAGTCAATTAGTCGAGGTTTCAAATTCACTGTAGATGGGTTGCCAGTGGAAATCACATAAAATGTCTGCCACTGTTCAATTAGAAAATTAGCTTAAATATGTCAGTTCCACAAAATCTTGAAGCTTGCAAAAGCAAAGTAAAAATGTCTAAGTTAGCTTTTAGTCCTGCCAACTCTAATGGTCCCATGCTAGAAATGCAGCACACTGTCAGCTCAAAACGGTCTGAGCATTTTCGTGTAGTCAGCAATACACCACAGGCACAAAACTCTCCACCTGGAATCCACAGCTCACAGTGTCACATCAAGCACTCAACTCAGTAGCTGGGCGATGGAACTTGTGGCCTCTCCATCCAGAAAAGGGGAATTTGTGAGACTCTGTGGGTTTACAGTCATCGGTGGGACTCCAGATTATCATAAACCCACATATACTCATAGCTATACCATAAATACAACACACAATACACCAAAACTATTCAACACTCACCATTTTGTTGCTGTCTTCTGGCTCATTCTCTTGGGAGCATCCATTTCTGAACTCATCACTACCTTCAGATTTATCAACATAAGACCCAAATGCAAACTTCGACAATGCAACAGCAGTAGATGACCCATTAGTCACATGCCCATTTCCAGTTGTATCAGATGTGCACCCATTAGCCTCTATGTGTGCTGTGCTACTGGTTACTCCATTTCCAACATTTGCTGACAATTCACCATTATTAGGATTATCACCATTATCTTTACTGCCGATGTTAACACTAGTGTTGTTATTACTGATGCCGTTGCTGCTTTTGCAAGTGCTGACAGCAGTCCTGAGGAAACTGCCGACGATAGCATCAATTTTCTTGAAGTAACCTTTCTATTGGAGGAAAAGGAAAGGAAAATTGTCTTACACAAATTAAAAACACAGAAGGAAACATTAGTTGTTTTTTTCCTGCTAAGACAATGGTCCAAATTCCATAATTTGTTCTGACCAGTGTGGTTCTGTTATGGACATGAATTTTAACCACGCCAATGATAGTTCGAAAATCTCTTGAGAACCGTATTATCTAATCTAATAAGCTCAGATGTGTCTAGGGCATTTAGCACTAAACAGTTTCAGAAAATGTTTGGGCTGGGTCAAAAAATGACATCACAGCACTCACGGCATTCCCATATGCACTCCCTCCCAATCTTCAGCAGCCATCGCAGAGTTCCTATACAAATGGTACCGATCGTTGACTGGCTAAATGTTGGTCTAGCCTTTCTTCTGAGTACAGTTAGCCAGCCAGACATTCTGGTTGAGTATAGTTAGCTAGCCAGACCCTATAGTTGAGTACAGTTAGCCAGCCAGACCCTTTGGTTGAGTACAGAGCCAGCCAGACCCTCTGGTTGAGTATAGTTAGCCAGCAAGACCCTATAGTTGAGTATAGTTAGCCAGCCATGCCCTCTGGTTGAGTACAGTTAGCCAGCCAGGCCCTCTGGTTGAGTACAGTTAGCCAGCCAGACCCTCTGGTTGAGTATAGTTAGCCAGCCAGACGCTATAGTTGAGTACAGTTAGCCAGCCAGACCCTCTGGTTGAGTATAGTTAGCCAGCCAGACCCTCTGGTTGAGTACAGTTAGCCAGCCAGACCCTCTGGTTGAGTATAGTTAGCCAGCCAGACCCTCTGGTTGAGTATAGTTAGCCAGCCAGACGCTATAGTTGAGTACAGTTAGCTAGCCATGCCCTCTGGTTGAGTATAGTTAGCCAGCCATGCCCTCTGGTTGAGTATAGTTAGCCAGCCAGGCCCTCTGGTTGAGTAGTTAGCCAGCCAGGCCCTCTGGTTGAGTACAGTTAGCTAGCCATGCCCTCTGGTTGAGTATAGTTAGCTAGCCATGCCCTCTGGTTGAGTATAGTTAGCCAGCCAGAACCTCTGGTTGAGTATAGTTAGCCAGCCAGACCCTCTGGTTGAGTATAGTTAGCCAGCCATGCCCTCTGGTTGAGTATAGTTAGCTAGCCAGACCCTCTGGTTGAAAATAGTTAGCTAGCCATGCCCTCTGGTTGAGTATAGTTAGCTAGCCAGACCCTATTGTTGAGTACAATTAGCCAGCCAGACCCTCTGGTTGAGTACAGTTAGCCAGCCAGACCCTCTTGTTGAGTATAATTAGCCAGCCAAACCCTCTGGTTGAGTATAGTTAGCCAGCCAGACCCTCTGGTTGAGTAAAGTTAGCCAGCCAGACCCTCTGGTAGAATATAGTTAGCCAGCCAGACCCTATAGTTGAGTATAGTTAGCTAGCCATGCCCTCTGGTTGAGTATAGTTAGCCAGCCAGATTCTCTGGTTGAGTATAGTTAGCCAGCCATACCCTCTGGTTGAGTATAGTTAGCCAGCCAGATTCTCTGGTTGAATATAGTTAGCCAGCCAGACCCTATAGTTGAGTATAGTTAGCTAGCCATGCCCTCTGGTTGAGTATAGTTAGCCAGCCATACCTTCTGGTTGAGTATAGTTAGCCAGCCAGATTCTCTGGTTGAGTATAGTTAGCCAGCCAGATTCTCTGGTTGAGTATAGTTAGCTAGCCAGACCTTCTGGTTGAATATAGTTAGCCAGCCAGACCCTATAGTTGAGTATAGTTAGCTAGCCATGCCCTCTGGTTGAGTATAGTTAGCTAGCCATGCCCTCTGGTTGAGTATAGTTAGCCAGCCATACCTTCTGGTTGAGTATAGTTAGCCAGCCAGATTCTCTGGTTGAGTATAGTTAGCCAGCCATACCCTCTGTTTGAGTATAGTTAGCCAGCCAGATTCTGTGGTTGAATATAGTTAGCCAGCCAGACCCTATAGTTGAGTATAGTTAGCTAGCCATGCCCTCTGGTTGAGTATAGTTAGCTAGCCATGCCCTCTGGTTGAGTATAGTTAGCCAGCCATACCTTCTGGTTGAGTATAGTTAGCCATCCAGACCCTCTGGTCAAACCCAGGTGCCTCCTAGTATTGATTTTCAGGGGTCATAAAGTGTCAGAGAGTTAAGGGGCCAGATTTAGATGTGATTCCTCTCGGAGACACTTCAGTTAGGTGACTTTGTGTATTCTAGTTCATGTTTGTGGTACTGTGCGTTCATTTCATGTGCTTATAAAGGCTCTCTAGCTGCAATATTGACTTATCGTCCCTGTTTGTGATAATGTGAGGCCGAATGCTTCTACTTGACACCAATGTGCAGACAAACAGGGTGACGTCATAACAGTTGAAAGATGACCGCCCCAGTTTTGACATGCACCAAAGAGGAACAGCATTCTGGTATCCGTTTTTTTAATAGAGAAGGGTGGGAACCTATAGTAATTCATCGGTGAATGAAGTTCCAAAATGGTGATGCATGCTTGTTAGTCCAGTAAGTGTATGAGTAGAGAAGGTTTTGAAACTGCGACTTCTTCTATGAGACCCACTCTGAACCGATCAAGAAGAGTCTTTGTGTTACTGGGCCCATAAAGAAAGTAATGATGGCAAAGGATTGGTAAACCTGGTTGAGTTGGTTGAAGGCTTACGCTCAAACGGGAAATAAATGGCAGAAGATGAAAACATTACAAGCAATGGAAGTGACAAGAGATCACAAAAACAGAATCAAGGTCAAGTCTGAGATTTACCTCTGTGATTTCCTCATTCTTGAACTCTTCCTCTAGTTCTTCTACTTTCAACTTGATATCCTTGGGCAACACATGTTCCACAATTGAGCATTTCTTCTTCCAGTAGCCCTGCCGACATTCAACATCATACACTAGACAGGTCTCTCGTCAAACTGACCAGACTGGTCTTTCTTGTCAAACTGACCAGACTGGTCTTTCTTGTCAAACTGACCAGACTGGTCTTTCTTGTCAAACTGACCAGACTGGTCTTTCTTGTCAAACTGACCAGACTGGTCTTTCTTGTCAAACTGACCAGACTGGTCTTTCTTGTCAAACTGACCAGACTGGTCTTTCTTGTCAAACTGACCAGACTGGTCTTTCTTGTCAAACTGACCAGACTGGTCACCCTTGTCAAACTGACCAGACTGGTCACCCTTGTCAAACTGTCCAGACTGGTCACCCTTGTCAAACTGACCAGACTGGTCTCTCTTGTCAAACTGACCAGACTGGTCTCTCTTGTCAAACTGACCAGACTGGTCACCCTTGTCAAACTGACCAGACTGGTCACCCTTGTCAAACTGACCAGACTGGTCACCCTTGTCAAACTGTCCAGACTGGTCACCCTTGTCAAACTGACCAGACTGGTCTCTCTTGTCAAACTGACCAGACTGGTCTCTCTTGTCAAACTGATCAGACTGGTCTCTCTTGTCAAACTGACCAGACTGGTCTCTCTTGTCAAACTGACCAGACTGGTCTCTCTTGTCAAACTGTCTGACCAGACTGGTCCCCCTTGTCAAACTGTCTGACCAGACTGGTCACCCTTGTCAAACTGTCTGACCAGACTGGTCACCCTTGTCAAACTGTCTGACCAGATGGTCACCCTTGTCAAACTGTCTGACCAAATTGTTAAATAACAATTACTAGGACTGAAAGAGTTGAACAAAAATTGCACAGAGGTAAGTGCAGTTATCTTCAGAGACAGTGATCCCAGTTAAATGCCCAGAAGTAAAAGGAGTTTTGTAATGAGCACATCTCTGTGGCTGGGCCACAATTGCAGAATAAAGGTTGGTAAAGTCCTAAGGACATCCTCTATGGTGATTAGCAGATAGGTATAATTGTAAAAAACTTTTCTCAACGCAGGCAGGTCTTGCTAGTCACACTTGCCATCACCACAGGCTGTGAGTCCCATGCCTCTCCATAGCACAATATAACACCATTATCTGGAAAGTCAGAAAGGTCCCAACAAAAATGTTTCCAAGGTTCACCCAACCCTCATAAATAAGGGTATCAGAGATTGTAAATTTCTTTGGCGGTGGGAGGGGGTGTCTGGGAAGGGCAGATGCCAAGAAAGGTAACTGGGCACCTGTTCCTATATGCTGAATCCTGCAACAAGTGAAGACACACCACTTCACACATCAACACCAGTGTGTGCCACAGAGCAAACTTTATTTGTTCATGTTAATAACCAGTCTATAACAACAAAGCTAGTACCCTATGCCCTAGGATGTGCATTTGTTCATTGCAGGCAAGGAACCAACAGTTTGCATACACACAAAAAACAGATCTGAAAAATCAGTGTGCATGCAAGAAGTCCTGGAACACGACAAAAGTCCAGAAGTGAACGAACAACTGAGACTTTCTGTTGGAGTTTACAGTCAGCTGATGCAAAAAGCGATCAATGCCAAACGTGGACACTTACATCCTCCAATGAATGTAAAACTGTGACAACAGAGATGAAATGCTTTAGAAGAGCTGCAGGAGTTTCACGGAAAGACAGAATACGAAATCATGAAATCAGACGAATGCTAGGAATAAAGCCAGTCTTACAGGTCATCAAAGAACAACAAATGAAGTGGTTTGGACACCTAACAAGAACGCCCTGGTACTATCTGCCACAGCGAGCCACACTGAAATGTTACAACGGGTATAGAGCGAGTGGAAGACCTCGGAAAAGATGGAGTGATGGCATTTAGAACAGCCTTACAGAAATGAACATCAGTCTTAATAGTGCTCTTGACAGAGCTCATCAATGAACATTACATCTCCCCCCAACACTTCGATGAGGTACAAGGTGGAAGAGAAGAAGAAGAAGATGCAAAAAGAAAAGAATTTTATCTCAGTCAGAGAATCAACAAAATAAGATGAATGGCTTACCTTCAAAGTTATATCTCCATCTGTAATTTCAGACTCCAGGGCATTCAGCCTGAAATATAAAGCATTTATATAAAGTGGGTATAAATAATTACAATACACATTTTTTGGTTGACAACGACAGAGAAATGTGCCCTTGTGGGCTGTGTATGCTTACAACAGGACATATGATCCTTGTACAGCCCATTAAGAAGGAAATACTATACTAATACTTCTGGCCCAATGACAATGAGTCAAAACTGCACACAATGTTGTATGTAACTTTTTCTGCTACTTTCGTTCGCTTGAAATCATCAACATGTAGCAGGTTCTTTGCAGAACGTCGCTCTCATCACAGTCTGCCTGAAAGAAACTCGGTCTCTCGCCAGTTCTCCTGCCTCATATATTTTCATACTCAAGGAGTCACTTATATCCTGTGCCCATCTTCAAGTCGGTCGGCCCCTGCCCCTCATTCCTGGTACCCTGCCTTCTGCTATAGTTTTTTTCCAATCCTTTGTGGCGCTTGACATGACCAAAATATTTCAGCTTCCGAGAAAGAATGCTGTTTATTAGCCAATCTTCCTTGATGTTCAGATCTGGTGCTTAACCATAGACTTTTAAGGCTGTTCAATCTTTGCATTGCTTAAAATAGATGATCTATATCTGCAATTGTGTCTCTAGTATGAACTTCACTGTCTTTTGTAATTCACTCAGCAACCCGTAAAGTTTGACTTGCACTGATGTTTCTCTTGGCCAAAAGTTTTGCCTTGATATGTTGTATTTGGGACAGTCTTGGAGGACATGATCTGTGTTGTCTCAGGTTCCAGTCCACATGGGTGATTCACCAATTTTAAATTTTGTGTAAGGTAAAGGTAAAGTCAGGAGATGTGAACCAGCGTCACTGCACACGGTTATAAACCCCAAGTGCTCTGCCACCAGTACGGACAGCTGATAAGAAACTGTCAGCCTGTGTCGCAGTCCGCACGAAACTCCGTAGTTACAGCGACGTTCCTCCATTTACTCTAGAGTGTTAACTCTGGTTCCCATTTCCTACAGGCTGGGTGAAACTCCGTGAACCTTCCGGTTTAAAACACCAGCCATAGGCTGCAGTGATTCGCAGATGGATTTGAAAGCGGGTTTCCTGGTACTCCTGTCAAATCCGGACGAAGACTAAAAAGCCTTGGACGACTTAGTCAGAGTTCTCTCCCTTGGCCGCACTGCGAACACTGATCGGAAAAGCCAACGAAACAAAGAAGACAGTCACGTCGACATCAGGGCTGCCAATGCTTGGTTGTTTCCCCCAGATCTGGGTTTTTTTCGACGCTGCAGGACAATTCTGGGTTTTTTTTTGGGTGTGTTGTGTTTGTTGGTTTTTGCCGATTTGTATGCTTTAATGATCGATAAATTTGCGTGGTTAGGGCTAGGGTTAGCGGTAGGGTTAAGTTTAGCGTTAGATTTGACAATTTTGACGCCAGAGTTCCATATAATCGCGCACAGTCCTATACACACACAAACAATCGAGGGCCTCTGGATGCTGGTCAAACGCACATTTTGCCAACGATTGGGGGCACCAGCCGCACGCTATTGGCGTCATATTTGGCAGAGTTTCAGTGGCGCCACTCCCACAAACATCAGATTGTCGGCCAGTATTTCAAAATCCTACGTCACAATTTTCACATCTAACCCTAACCCTACCCCTAACCCCACTCCCACAAACATCAGATTGTCGGCCAGTATTTCGAAATCCTACGTCAAAATTTTCACATCTAACCCTAACTCTAAACCCTAACCCTACCCCTAACTCTAAACCCTAACCCTACCCCTAACTCTAACCCTACCCCTAACTCAAACCCAAACACTACGCATCCCTACACGCAACCGTATGATGACTACGCAACCCTTCACGATGCCTCACGCAACCGTACGCAGCCCTACACGCAACCATATGATGATAGGTAAGTGTGTCGTTTGTTTCGTTGTGGCTTTTCCAATCACTGTTTGCAGTGCGGCCAAGGGAGAGAACTCTGACTAAGTCGTCCAAGGCTTTTTATTCTTCGTCCGGATTTGACAGGAGAGCCGGTTTCCTATTGACTGAGCTAACACGGCCCCTTGATTTTAAATTTTGTGTACATGTGGCTGCGAAATCTATTGTGTCCTGTTCTAAGGCATAGAAAAATTGACATGGAACTAAAAGGGTACTTCTAAAGACAGTCTGCAAGAACTTGTTTATCGACGTCAATCAGAAAGTGAACAAAAAAAAGAAGAAGAATCATTCCAAATATTCAATAATATCAATTCCATTTCCATCACAAACTCAGTGTCAAATGTGGCTTTTGTGCTGTCATCAGGTGACCTTTGAGCCTGAGATTTGAAGTGTATTCACCATGAAATGCGCAAGTGTAAATTGGGATTTTGTTGTTGTGTCGAACAAACAAAACCTATAATTTAACCGAACCGAGAATTCGAACCTGGGCCTATCACAGTGAGCACAACACAACGTAAATGTTCTTGACCTTACTTAACCACCATTCTTCCACCAAACAGCTTTTTTAATTTTTTTATTTTATGCAGCTAACTAAAACAATAAATAACGAATACTAATAAAATTACCATATCAAAAATATACTTTTTAACAATGTACGCATTTGTTCGGGACACTGCAAAAATCTGCATGGCGAACCTGTCCGATTCACAGTTTCTGAGATCTGATATGATACTAATACTATCTGCCACGGTTGAATGTTACAACCGGCTCTATGTAGCATGTGAGAATTCTTTTCCTTATCTCTGATTTGTTGCAGCTGCATAAAAAGTATCTCATGATGGAAGACAGGACAGGACGACCGGACCGAGTCGAATTTCAGTAGTTCACGGTTTCACCACTATCGGAGGGAGTAGAGTTTTGTGATCTAAACACTAAACTAAACATTAGGATTTGTATTTTAGCTTACCTTTTCGTAAAATCTGCATCAATAATAACGTCTTCTGCAGCAGCAGGTTGAGCAAGAGACCCTGGCATGGCGTCTGAAGATTGAATCGAGCTTAATATCCGTTACAACGATGTCCGTCAACGAGACAAACCCCCGAGATAGAGCAGATTGTAGGCAAACTTCCCGCGATTTCAACCAGACCGGAACACGGTCTTTTGCTGCCTGACACCTGCTCCTATCGACACGGATAACGGGAACGGTTAGCTAGACATGTGAATGAGTTAGTTGAAACGCCATCCACTTCCCTGTGTGGTTTCCGGGACCTCATTGTGGGGGAAACAAGAATAGACCCACTGCCCGCCCCCTTCAACATATCCCCAAAAAAGACCCAAAAAAACCAGGCCTTTCTGCCAGAATTTACAACCAGTGCACACAAAGAAGATGAGAAGAACCCCAATAGGATCGCACACTAAGTGATTATTACCCTGCGACGCAAAGTGTCACTATGTGGATGAGAATCCCCCAGGTACAAATTCCAGAAACTCCATTCAACCGCAAGGATATATAGGGTCCCCTACGATTACAAAGTAACATGGAGCAGGGTAGGGAATTATTTTCTCCCCCTCAATAAGGTGCTAGGGCGAATGTAAGGATATGTGAGCTCTTTCTAAAGCGTTACATAAGTAGATCTTCATTTCTTTAAGGTTGTTCTTGATGTCATCATTCCATGTTTTTTCGTGATCTTCCCCCGATTTTGTGTTTTTTATATTACATTGATTACATCTTGAGAACGGAGAAACAGGGGTACATCGCGACAACGAGAAAGCTAGAGGGGAGGAGTGGCAGAAGGAGACACAATGAGAAAATGTCAGTCTGCCATCGTTATATGGAAGAACATTTATGTTATCGCTATGACTGACAATTCACGCGACAGGAGGCTATGGTCCGGTATGAGAACTAATATCACAGTATGGATTCTAAGAATCAGTTTATTTGAAGAAGTTGCTTTCTATGGCTTATCGAAAAGTCACTTTATCTCTAGAAAATGTCCTTGGCTTGTACATTTTCATGTCCAAGATAGCTCCAGTATCTTGTGTCCATTTGTATGCTGATAGATCCCTGGTCTTCTGTCATGAGCCACGCCTCTTATTATTGTAGGCTTTTTTTTTGGGGGGGGGGGGGGGGGGGGGGGGGGGGGGGGGTTATACTTCTCCGCAAAATCATTGATATCTGTCTGTGGCTTTGTCTATTAATTTTGACAGACAAATTTGTATTCAAAGCAAATGTCGCATTTCAAGCATATGTTTTGGGATCCTAACAGGACGTATACCATGTTGAACGGATACGAATGAATATCGAGGTAGTCCTGCATACAATATATATATATATATTCTAAGCATCCTTCATAAAACCACATCTCTGAGGCCTCAAGAAATTGTTTGGCCTCCCTACCGATTGTCCAGGATTCACAGCCAAATGTTAAAACTGGTTGAATCACGCAAGAATTCTTTTTCTAACGCTCATTGACAAGGATATATCGCACAAGATATTCTTCATTTTATAAAAAGCAGTTTTTGCCTGTCCTATTCTGTTTCTTATCTCAGTTATGCATCTTCCATCTGGTGTTATACATGTGCCCAGATACTTAAATTTCTGTACTTGTCCTAAAATAACACCATCGACTTATATTACACATTTAGGAATAATTCGTTTCTTTGATACCACCATCACTCCTGTCTTCCCATTATTCAAACTGAGGCCCATTCTTCCAATTTCTAACACCACAATGTCTATCATTTCCTGTAGTTCTTTCTGACTTGTTGCTATGAAGATTGTGTCATCAGCATAACGTAAATTGTTTATATTGTGCCCACCAACCACAATTCCGGGCATATCAATTAAAGATCTCATTATATATTCACTGTATATTGAAAACAAATTAGGTGATAGTATACATCCTTGTCGTACGACCCTCTTTATGCTTTAAAATGTATCTTAACAGTTGTTAATTCTTATAGTTGTTGTTTGCTGCCAGTACATATTCTTTATTATTCGTAGATCTTTTCCATCAATGTTTATTTTTCTAACATTTTGATTACTTCTTCATGCTTCACACAGTCAAATGCTTTTGTATAGTCTATGAAGCATAAGTACAAATTAGTCTTTACTTCTATAGCTCTTTCTGACAATGTCCTTAGGATGTATATGGCATTGTTTGTACCTTTTCTTTCTACAAATCCACATTGTTTATCGCTGATTTCTGGTTTAATTTTGTTTATTATTCTTCTCATAATTATTCTCAGTAAAATCTTAGTCATGTGACTCATAAGACACATTTTAAAATGCCTGGTTTCTTTGGCAGAGCTATAAATATGGATTTTAAAAGGTCATTTTGAATATACCCACTATAATAAATTTTATTTAAAAGTTTAGTTATTATTTCAGTTCCAAAATCTCCTAGTGCTTCGATTTCTTCCAGTGAGATGTTGTCTGGCCCGGGTTCTTTTCCTTTCTTCATATGATGTATTGATCCCTAACTTCTGCAGTCATTATTGGTGGACCATCATTGTTGGTCTGAAGTTCTACATCTGGTCTATTATCATCATACAATTTCCCTATATAGTCTTCTTCGTCAGCATTCTGAGCCCTTGAGATTCATTGCTATCACCGGCCTTCATTCATCTCTCTGGTTTTCCTTCTCTTTCCACTTGGTGACACTAAGTGTTTGCATCATCAGTTCTCGTTATGCCTAGTGGCACATGAGACTTCAGAGAGGACTTTGCATGCTTTCCTGTCCTGTGCAATCTTCAGTGCGGTTTTCCATGTCAAAGATGCCGCACTCAGGTCACTTTCCATCGTTCGTCTCCATGTTGTTTTTTGGAGCCCCTGTTTTCTCTTTTCCTCTGGTGTTCATGTGAGAGCTGTTTTGGCGGGTAACTCAGGATTCATTCTCATAACGTGGCCAAGCCATTTCCATCTTCTCTTGGTTTTCATACTGTCTAAAGTTTCTTGGTTTGTGACTTGAAGTAGTTTAGTGTTTGAGATTGTATCTGGCCAGAAAATTTTGATAATTCTATGTAGACATGTGTGGTGAAAGGTGGACAGCTTGTTAGTATCCTTTTTGGTCATTCTCCAGCATTCCGCTCCATAAAGAAGAACTGGCAAAATGATGCTCTTGTAGAGTCGCAGTTTCGTTCCTCTGCAGTAATTGTTGGATTTCCAGATTTGCCTCATCCTTCCAAAAGCAGCTCTAGCTTTGTTCAGACGTGACTATATGTCCTCTTCGGTCCCTCCCGGCAGGGGCACCACACTGCCAAGATATGTAAGTAATATCTGCAGTCATTACTGGAGGACCATCATTGTTGGTCTATTATCGTCATACAATCACTCTATTTACTCTGTTTATATATATATATTCTTCTTCGTCAGCATTCCGAGCCCTTGAGATTCACTGCTATCACCGGCCTCCACTCATCTCTCTGGTTTGCCTTCTCTTTCCACTTGGTGACACCAGGTTTTTGCAGGTCTGTCTGGATAATATCTCTCCATAGTCTTCATGGTCTGCTTTGTAGTCTACAACCATTCAGCTCCCTTGTGTATACAATTTTTACCTCTCTATCATCTATCAATTTGCTCCAGCCATTTCAGTCCGTCAGCCCTCATAATGCCAGTGATCCGTGGTGATTTAAACAGAATTTGACTTTCGTTGTTGCTTCTTACTCTAGATTCCCGGCTGTTTGCATCTTTGATGGATCCAAAGATTTGCAGCCAGCCCTCATGGTTAGGCAGCGACGGATAATGTGTATTCACTGCACTTCAAGGAGGTTTCCATAAATGCAGAGTAGACACACGACGGTCTGGTCCTGCGCTCACCGAAGTAATCGTCACGCCCTGCACATGACTGCACATTTCCTTCCATCCCCATGTGAAGTTTCCCACTTATCACCGGCTACACCCTCCGGAGGTCCAGGACTTTAACTACCACTCAAATTGATACATTCTTCTTCAGCATGTTAGACTACTCTAATTTTAATTTATTTAGATATTTATCACAACAATAAGGCCAAAAAAAAAAAAAAAAAACGCATCGGGAATGTCTTCCCGTTTTGGTCTCGGCACTAGCGAGTGGCGTCAGTGGTAACGGACATTTGAACCTTTCTGTCAAACAGTGGGACCTCTGGCGGTCAAACATTTAAGACTTCGGTTATGCCATAGGACTTGTGACTAACGGACATTTAAGCCTTTTGCAGATTGTCGTGGTGCACCTCAACGCGATGACGACAACGTCGACAAAGGATGTACGCAGACGGAACTGTACCGCCAGATACCGTTCTAAGAATATGATGCTAGCCTAAGCTGCGGATAGATCCCGTGGTGTATCGCTGAGTCTCAGAATTTCAGTACCTCTTCCACTGGACAGACGTTATAACCACAGTATGTCATATAATATGGAGTTCGACCAGCGGGTTTCACTCACGTTCTAAATGATTTTTGGATAGATTTTATCACCCATACCGTAGGTTCTGTTGACGAGCACATGGCGTTTGTGACGCCAGATTGCACAAATTTGGCGTATTTGAAATTGAACTAGCTTAAGACAATGAGCTAGCGTATTTTGGCGTATTTTGGTTTTTCCTGGCTTTTCTAAACAAAACGTGCTCTCATTTTCGTCTTGGTTACTCTTTGAATAACACGCAGATTTACTAAAAGCAGTGTAGGCCTACAGTTATCATCTTTATTTCAGTTTGTCTTTGTTGTGATGTCCTGGTTCGGACTAACGGAGATTCGCGCCATCTCTTATTGTAGTAGTAGTTGTTGTCTTCCTAAACAGATCGTGACTGCGATAAACCAAGACCCTCTGTAATTTACTGTAGTTTACTAGAATAAATGTGGGATATTAAACCAAAACCCACCACAGATACCAAGTGATTCAGACTGTTAAGAAACTACTTAAGAATAGAAATAATTTGGACCTAGTTCTATCTGTGATAAATTTTATTACTTTTACCAATAGCCACGTCATCCAAAAAAGGGAAAGCATCTTATGACAGCAATCGCAAGTATAAAAGTAATTGGGAGAAAACATACC